ACTGGTAGGAACAATACTTGATAAAATCAAGTGCGCCTTTAACAGTTGCATATCGGTACCCTAACTTAAAGGTAAATGGCGCGGCGGGGCCTAATTCTTAAACGTAAACATTTTACAGATGGTTAAATAGGGCTTGGGGTCCGCTGGACCCCACCACGCCAGTTGAGGGTTAAGGAAAAAATATAGGTAAATCAGTCTAGAAAAATTTCTGTAAGCTATTTATTGTTATAAAGTTAGGCGCAGGAGCTAGGAAGAGATTGTATGGGAGAGGATAGGCTCGGTGCATTTCCAGTTCATTATAAAGGTGGCAGCCTGATGGGGGGCGGCATTTTTTTACTAAAAACAATTTGAAAAACAATATGTTCGAAATTAAAACATACTGCCACAATATTATATTAGTTTTAAATTATAATCTTTATTTTATAATTTAAATACTGTTTAACATCAGTTAATGTACATAGATTTATATAAGACGATTCGAACAACTGTGACAAAGAAATGTCAAGGGAAAACCCTACTAAAGAATATATTTTGTAATATTTAGTTTAAATTATTATTATCCTTTTTTGTACTTTTTGTGTGTTTTTATTTTACTGTTGTAACACCAAAGGTTCCAACCCCCAACTGTAGACTAACTAGCGTTAAAAAGTTATTTTTATGGAGTTTACTTTAATCTCTTTAAGATAAAAATGTACAGGTTGAGCCAAAAAATTCTCAACAAATGGGAAAATATTTTATAATTTAGTTATTGAAAAAACTGTTTCTATAGATTTTATGCAGCATGTTCAATTTCATTATTAATTATGATGTGCAACATACTACGAATATCTCTAATGATGTACTAATCAAGATGGACTAAATAGCTTAAAAAGTAAAAAAATTGTTCTGAATTTGATTTGATGTCTATTTATCAAGTTTTATAAATACACAGAGACTTCAAAAAAACGACACATTTTCAATTAATTTACGAAAATAAAAAAGACAATTGATTTTTTTCGTATGAATGGCACGAGTAAATCTAATAAATAAATATGCGGTAATTTTTCTTTACTGTCCCGCAATAAATTAAAAAATATATATGAATTTTTAGTTTCAAACTTATTAAAATATTGTATGAATATACAACATATAGTAATAAATTTGAGTAAAGGGGGCTTTTTAAATTTGTATGACAGTTATTCCAAAATATATGTATGTCAATTTTTTTAAAAAAGCATCTATTTTTCTTAAAACGGTATGAAATATTAAGTTTGTCCAACGGCAGGATCCCTGACAGTGACAGTTGTCTCTGTCATTTTAATTCACAGACAAATTATAATTTCTGTAATTTTGAGGATGTTGTCTGTCGAAATATTCTCTATGTCGTTGGACAGACTAATCAGACTATACATATATGTAAACACACTGTAGGAATATCCATATGGTAATATATTTAAGTAAAGGGGGCTTTTTCAATTTCCTTGACAGTTATTCTATGCCATATTTCTTAAAAAGCATCAACTTTTCTTAAAACTCAATGAAATATTTCCATTTGTTGACAATATTAGGTATAACAAATTTTACTTTAATTTTCATTAGTTGAAGGGGATGGTAAAATAAATGCTGCCTAGGGTACCAATTACCAATTCACTATATGCTTTTATTTTATTTATTTTGTAGTTATTGGGCTTATTATTAGGGGTATTTGTATTAAGAAAATAGATTGGAAAATTAACTTTGCCCTTTTGTAGAAGAGAAAAAGTGATAATGGCAAAGTGGTAGGTATTTTCATCTCCCATTTCAATTAATCTTTAAATTTTAGGAGAACCAAATACTGATTAAAAACAAGATTTTTACCTTTATCTAACTAATTTTCCGATAAGTCCATTAACCGATCCCGAACAATAGCCGATATTTTTTTTATTATCAGACCCCCCGTGTTCAAACAGATAATTAGTTATTTCATTTGCATCATGCATTGATTCAGAGAATAGAGATCTTAACAAAATATCTATCCTATCGAAATAATAGCTGAATGACATCTGTTTATAATATTTTCAGACACGTGTGTGACTTCAATAAAATTAATTATTTTTTTTATTATCTGACCCCCCTGTGTACAAGCAGATAAATAGTTATTTCAATTGCATCATACATTGTATCAGAAAACACAGATCTTAACAAAATTCCTATCCTATCGAAACAATAGCTCAATTATGATTATAATATTTTCAGACATGTGTGTGACTTCAATAAAATTAATAAAAAGCCTATCGTTAAATGTAATACAAACATCACATTATTTTAGACAATTTGACAATTGTTTTCGACTTAATTTGGTTTGAACAACAATTAGCTAGATTCCGCTGTCAATGTGTGGTAACGTGACGTAAAATATACCGTGTGTCTTAATAAAATCGATAAGAATTTAGAATGTTATTACATTTGTTGGAATAATATATGTATATGATAGATAATGATGTATTATATACAGGGTGTCCCAGGCTGAGCGTACATTAGAAGTTTTTAGAGAACTACAATATCTAGATCGGAGATTTTTTGCACATCGATGTTTCACAACGAGATTCTATCGATTAAAAATATTTTCAATATGGCGTCACTTCCGGAAATACCGGAAGTTGACAGCAACTTTCTTATTTTAAATGGGTGACCCCATTTTTTATTACATATTTAAATTCTCTGTAAAATGTTATGAATTTTGATAAACTAACTAAACACTCTATAGCTAACATTAAATGTTTTTGAGAAAAAATATATTTAAAATCTTTGGACGAAAAAAACTGCCTGTGAAAAATATGTGTTTAGCCTAAACGTCAAATTTAGTGATTACCACAGCCACTGTGCCATAAAGAGAAGACATGTGGCTGTCTATTTCAAAAAATTAATTTTTCGAATGTCATATAGTAATGGCCGTAGCTGTCATGGAATTTAGCGATTAAAAAATTATCATAAATCATTTTTTTTTAAATGGAAACCCACTTTTTTTATTTCACTAGTGAAAAGACTTTTCAATTCGTTATTTTTTGACTATACATGTTCCTGTATCTAAAATAAATTGTTTTTAAGTTATAAAGCGTATATTTTTCTTGATTTTAACCAGTAGCTGTGCCAGTAGCTTATGACTTTAAACGTCAAGTGATGTAAAACAATAGATCTGGCCATGTCATATTGTGATACTTTGTTCAAAAAGCAGTATGTTATCGATCATCATTTCCAAGCTAACCTTGCGCTGTTTTTTTCGATCATACGGTACATATTATTTAATAATATCAATTATTAGATATCACTAAAGAGAAAAAATACGAGATATATTTATATAGGGTGTTTCAAAACAAATGCGAAAAACTTCAGGGGGTGATTCCTTGTTCAAAATAAAGGGTAGTTTGCTTTATAAACGTTGGGTCAAAAGTCAACCATTAGGGAGATATCGCGGTACATAGATGGCGGAAAAATAATGTTTTATATCATTCTTGAAAACGAAATTTATAGATGAAATGAAATTTATGGAAGCATTACTGTTATGAAAACACACTTTCTGGTAATTTTCTCACTTTTTTAAAATGAGTGGAAGGGGTTGAAATAAACTACCCCTATCATTCTTGTTAACGAAATTTAAAGAAAAACCTTATCAAAAACATGCAAAAAAATTAATTTGGATAGTTTAGTTTGTTTAGAACTTTTTTATCTCTTGTGTTTTTTTGGTAAAACTTACTGATTTGAAATTAAAAAATAAAATGTAAAGCATTACATGTCAGGACAAAAAACATTTTTAGATAAAGAATCTAGTGGGCTGCTGTATTTTTTTAGGAAAAAATCTGGTCGACCGCTGTCACTTTTTATGATGTTTCTAATATTATTTTATTTGACATTACTCTACTGCAATATGTTATTATCTTACGATCAATTAATTATTCCGAAGTCCTTTATCTAAAAATGTTTTTTGTCCTGACATGTAATGCTTTACATTTTATTTTTTAATTTCAAATCGGTGAGTTTCATGAGAAAACACAGGAGATAAAAATTTTTCTAAACAAACTAAACTATCCAAATTATTTTTTTTGCATGTGTTTGATAAGGTCTTTCTTTAAATTTCGTTAAAAAGAATGATAGGGGTAGTTTATTTCAACCCCTTCCACTCATTTTAAAAAAGTGAAAAAATTACCAGAAAGTGTGTTTTCTTAACAGTAATGTTTCCATAAAATTTCATTAGTCTATCGCTTTTTGTTTTCAAGATAAAAAATAAAAACATTATTTTTCCGCCATCTATGTACCGCGATATCTCCGTAATGGTTGACTTTTGATCCAACGTTTATGAAGCAAACTACCCTTTATTTTGAACAAGGAATCACCCCCTGAAGTTTTTCGCATTTGTTTTGAAACACCCTGTATAAATACACTTTTTAAACTCTTAAGCAGGCAGTAAGTATTTATAATATAGGAAATTAAAATAATTCGTTTTCTGACAGATAGAAATAAATTGTCTGACTATTTAACATTTAATGTCAAAGGAAGCTAGATAAAATCAAGAAAAATATACGTTTTCAAACTAAATCTTAAATAACTTAAAAACGATTTATTTTAGGTATAGGAACATGTATTGTTAAAAAGTAACGAATTGAAAAACCTTTTCAATAGTGAAATAAGAAAAGTGGGTTTCCGTTTAAAAAAAATGATTTAGTATAATTTTTTAATCGTTCAATTCGATGACAGCTACCGCCATGATCATATGATATTTTAACAATTTAATTTTCGAAATAGATAGCCACGTGTCTTCACTTTAGTGCAGTGGCTATGGTAATCACTAAATTTGACTTTTAGGCGATATAATTTTTTTTGATTGAGAGTTTAAAAATGCAGTATAAATTATGTAGATGATTAAGTATAGAATTAAATATTAGAACTTACACGTTGCAACAAAAAATGTAGTTAATGCGTGGATAATTTTAATTTTTAATAGTTTGAAGGAAAAAAATTATAGAAATGTATGATTTCCATTTCAGGTTTACTGGCATTTGGTGTGAAGGAGTCTTCAATGTTAAATAATGCCTTTACGGTATTAAATTTAGTTACCATTTGTATAGTGCTTGTGTCTGGATCAATAAAAGGTAAGTCATAATAACTGGGTGGTTAATTATGGGAGTTGGTTGAAAAAAGTTATGTTCAACTGTTTATATCAAAAAATGTTGAGTTTTGATGAACTACATATTGTACCAATATTCCAAATTTATATGATAAAAATAATAAATAGTGGCCCGCGCATCTATTTCGTTGACACCCGGTATACCTTTCCTGCACTAATCTGAGGATGAACTGATGCACGATTTAAAAAATCTGTAACCTCGACTATTTTACGTACTAATAATCCTTAGATGTTTTTGCACTAATTGCTGCCTTGTATGTTCCTGTCCCTGTATAATTACATAAATACTATGTATGCCAGTATACAGAAAATTAAATATATAATTTCCAACATCATATATTATGATTATAGCCACTCTTTAAATCGTGTGTTTTTAACAAATTTTTAAAATATTAATGTAATAACTAAGCCCAATTGACACAGTACAAGTGTACTTGAATCAAGGACACTTGAAGAAATACCAATGCAAAGTAATTTCTAAATTTTTTCAGGTATGCAGATATAAAGCAGCTCGCATATTTGTATCAAAGTTTTTAGATTTTATAGGCTTTATATTTATAGGCTATAGTCCCCACATTCCTTAATTTGTACATTTGTTACCCGTAGATTGTTCTTGTAGATAAGTTTCTGTATCATCAATTGCTACTTGAAAATTGGATGCTCCGAGCTCCGAGTGCCTCACGGTTAAGGATACACGTCCGGATGCAAAGTCTCTTCTATTTTTACGTAGTTCTTTGTTCTTTATGGCGATTCTACATTCCTGTAAAAGGACTATACCTATAAGCTACAAGGTGTAGTCCCACATCCCACACCTTATAACAACAAATCCGACATCTTGCTATCTATCCAAATACAATCTGGTGGAAACCGACTTAGTTGTACGAGTTACTTGATCAATTTAGTCATCTAAGTACATAATAAAGGATAATATGTAGTTTAAAATTCATTAATTAACGTATCCTTTTATCCTAATTTACAGGATTCCCTGATTACTTAAAAATTGTTTTCGGCGACATATGTTTTTGTTTTATTATTTCTCTCTAGTTCTGATCTTGCAGTTAATAAGTAGTCGTGGACAGTCTTGATTTTCTTCTTGCGGCAATACTCTTGCAAGTTTTGCATTTTTTTGAAGAGAAGAGATTTCTAGAGGTCATTTCTTCATAGATAATCTTTAAATAAATAGTGTTTGACGAAAATTTTTATTTTTAAAATTTTATGAATTAGTCGGGTAAACACTATTTGTAATAGATCAAAACAATAATTTTAAAGTCCAAAAAAACCGAGTTATACATTACAATTATTGATTTATTTTTAAAAAAAAAATGAGTGCCACCGATTTTTTTCTTTATTAGGTATTTGCATTCCTTTTAGTGCGGTAGCCATAGTAATATCAGGGATTAAGAAATTATACCGTGGACAAATTTGCGGTAAACAGGCACACGGTAGGGTATTAACATGAAAAAGGTGATCGAAATTCGAAAAAGCAAATGTGTTTAAGATTTCCCAAAAAAAGATAAATGATAAGTTAAATCATGTCTGCCATGAATGGCGTTGCTATGGGTGTGTTTAGTTGCATTCATTTGTTTCAACGAAACGTCAAAGTTGTTACTTCTCACAGATAATAGGTAAATGGCTAAATTTTATGTTTAAAATTATAAATTGTTGTTGTTCATGTGCTCTTTTTACATTTATATTATTGTTTTGATTGAAAATGGCTCAGCAAGCTGCAGGTATGTATTCTACAAAAACGTATTATTTATTTTGATATTCTCTATACTAACGATTTTTTTTTGCAACTAAAAGTTAGGGATTCAGAAAATTTGATTAAATTTGTGACATTTTTATTATACTTAGATATTTAGTTGCGCATTTCGAAGAATTCAGCATATTGTCTCTATACGTTTTACTTAGTAAACATTGGACTTTCATACAGTAAAATAAAATACTGCGACTTTACTGATAAAGTGAGAAAAACATTCTTGGTTTCCTCTAATTTGCCAATCAGTGATATACAGTCCGTCTGCTAGATCTGTGTCTATGAAAGGAATGCGGACAAAAAACATTTAAATAAACAGCAATATATTTTATACGTCGACTTGACGAGTACGTCACCGCAAATCGCTCCGCCCACTCATTTTATTGGCTACTTGCGAATTTGTCGAATTTTTATTGATGGGACGCGTCGTCTAATTTTTTACGAAAAACATCGAGACAATATCGTTTCCCCTCTCACGGATACCCCGTAGCTACAGAACGGACAGACGAGACGTACTGTACTAATGCGAGGTGTAAACCGCGATGGCATTGTTGTGTACAAAGCGATCGCATTAGTGCCATTAGCAGTATAGCACAATTTGGCATTAGTAGCGACTTTAGCGGTATGGGCATTGCTCGCGGATCAGTCCTAGCATTAGTAGTATTAGTTAGATATTACTACTGGCATTAGTGGCATTGATCGTGGAAACACTGGAACAGTGATTTTTCTTTCTTTTTTTAGAATCGACGAATTATCCTTTATTTTGTTCATATTATTTCCTCTTTAATTAAAAATAGCAATAATTTATATAAGGTCTACATAAAAAAATTTCGATCAACTATCTGTGTCAAATACCCCACTGTGAGGCAGTTCTAAAAAGTTTTCTAAAATATTATACAGAAAAATTTAGTAAGTAAGATGTCCGATTTTCAACATTTTTTTTTCGAAAAAAAAACTCACAGACGTGTTCCTGGGGTCGAAATATATAACCCCTAAAAATATTTCCACTTATCTCCTAAATATGCCAAAAAATTTATAATCACTATTACTTTTTGATCACCATTCTAGAGACCCCAATGAATAAAGAATAACATTTTATTCTTTATTCAATGAGAGACCTAAGCGCGAACATGGCGTTGTTAGAATTCTGAGCACGTTCATGCTCATTCTCCCTACTTCTATATCTCGATACCACGACTAGTTTTGAAATAATTTTTTTTATCAATTTGAACATTTCTTGCAAAATTAAAGTGGTGCAGAAATAATCATTATTATTTTTCCTTAGCGGATGTCAACAACTGGAAACTAACCGATGTTCCTGATGGTTATGGTGTGGGTGGATTTATGCCCTATGGCATATCTGGAGTCATGGCTGGAGCGGCAAAATGCTTTTACGGTTTCGTGGGTTTCGACGCCGTCGCTACCACTGGAGAGGAAGCGAAGAATCCGCAAAAAGACATCCCCCTGGCTATTGTAATCAGCTTGTTTGTAATTTTCAGCGCTTATTTTGGAATATCAACTGTTCTGACAATGATGTGGCCATACTATGACCAAGTACGTAAAAACCATTGAATCACTCTCAAATAAAAAAAAATCTTTTAATATACCGGGTGTTTCTCAAAAGTGGCTCAGCTTTTTTCAGCTAATAAAACGAAATTTGGTGTGTTAGTAGTAGACATAAAGTGGGTTTGATTGACGTATTCAATTACTTTCCGCCACTTCCTGTTTCACCGGAAATGACTACAACTTTTGATTTTTTAATGGCACCCCGGTATTTTTCTACTTTATACACATTACACACATTAACACACAAAAGTTGACATTATCTGTCAACTTTTGACATTTTCAATTAAAAAATAGCGTTTTAAATTTCAATCTAGAGTACCACGACTGTGTTAAAATCATTAGTTTTCTAACAAGGAATTGGAAAAACAGATTTGATCGTCTAATGTTTTTCGTGTCTTTTCCTGGTCAGTTAAAAGATGATATAATCGAATTTTTAATCATAACTCATTTTTTCAAATAGAACGAGGGTGGCTCATTAGCATATTTGGAAAAAAAAATTACGAATAATTTGGTAGGGTACCACAATTGTCGTTGCATTTATGGCCATGGCACTCTAGATTGAATTTTAAATTGCTATTTTTTTTATTTGTATCAAATATAGGTACATTAATACATATATGTAATATTAAAACTTTTTGGACGTATTGTAGTTTGCTGAATATATTTTCACAGGATGCAGATGCTCCTTTTCCACATGTGTTTCAACAAGTTGGCTGGATAACTATCAAGTGGATCGTTACCATTGGAGCTATTTTCGCTCTATGTACCAGTCTGCTGGGAGCTATGTTTCCTTTACCTAGAGTCATATATGCCATGGCACAGGACGGTATTGTATTCAAAGTGCTCGGTAAAGTGAACAGCTGGACACAAACGCCATTAATTGCTACCATATTATCTGGATTCTTCGCAGGTATATAAAATCAACATATATTATTTTATATCGTGTGCTCAATTGATTTCAGGTGGGACTTTACTACTGTAACACTGGTTGAAGCTATTAACAAACATAGTGTCAAATATGACTGTTTAAAGCTTTGTCAAAATAAATATAAATAACTTAAGATAATCATAAGATTTAAAATAACTCACAAAAAGTTGGCACTGTAAAAATTTCGGTTGTCACAATTAAATTTCAAACTGAAATGATAGTCTACACCCACTAGAATGTGTATGTGACAGTAGTGATGAGCAAATGCAAGACCAAGGCCAAGGCTTTCTTAGTCATGGTCTTGTAATCTAAAAAGTAGTTTATGTCTTGGTCTGGCAGGGTCCAGATTTGATCCGGCTACAAGACTCTTTCATGTCTTGCACTTTTTTAATAGATTTTTGCTAGTAAAAGTGGAAAAAATTAATTAGTTAGTTTGAACTCTTAGTTTTTCAAATATCTCCGCTTGTATAAGCTTTTTCGAAAAAAAAACTAAAAAGGCGGTTGTTATAGAGCATTAAATTTCAAACATTTTACTTCTTATCATTTTCCTCTAAAGTAAATATTAACGGAGATATTAGAGAGACATTATTAAATAGCTTATAATATAAAATCTTTGTTTATTATGTTATTTCGCGTACGAACCGGCAACACTGTATGCCACTTTTTATATTGTCTTTCTGTCGTATGCTACAGACCTTCTACAGACCACGGAAATAAAGTGACCAGTGGCGTATACAGGGTGGTCCGAACTGTATTCCGGAAACTTCGGCAGCATATTGTGCAAATAAATATAAGTAAAAAAGTTTTTAAATTATCAATACCTTTATCTATATATCTTTATACCCTGTATCTCCGAAACTAAGCATTTTAGGACATAGATTTATACGAATTGTTTTACTTATTTTTATCTGCAGAATATGCAGCCAAAAATTCCGGAGTACAGTTCGGCTCACTCTTGCCGGTGAATAACAACAATGTCCAACATAAGTAGGCATATAGAATATTGCTCGGTCGTTACTATTAAATTATAAAAGCTGGTTTTACATTTTTGTCCGTAACAAATACACGAATAGCATTTCTTAGTTTGATATAATATTATTCTGTATAAGAATTAATACAATATGGTTTTTTATAATTATATACTTTTTTAGGTATTATGGCAATGTTTTTTGACCTAAATCAACTCATCGACATGATGTCAATAGGAACACTACTAGCCTATACAATTGTAGCAGTATGTGTTTTAATTTTAAGGTAATTTATATGGAACAATCAACAGTTTCATATTGATATAAAAATAAAATATTTTAGATATCAAGTGGACGAGACTCAAGTAATCAAAAGTCTAGAAAAAGATACTTCCCAGTACTATCAGCCAACCCTCTACAACACATTCAAAGAAATGTTCAATTTGAATAACAATAAAGTACCCAATTCCAGAACGTCCAGAATAACCAACTGGAGTATAGCAGTATACAGTGAGTTATCAAAATTATTACCTACATCTAATTCTTAGTTGATTATTATATTTGAATTTTAGGTATATTTACAATGCTCTTTGCTGCTATAATTATTAATGTTCCTCACATTATGTTTAAAGAGCCGTTTTATTTGACTGGATTTGTCGTTAGTCTTTTGGCCATGATAGTAATTATGATTGTCATTGCTCGACAACCTGTAGTTGACACAAAATTGTCATTTAAGGTAATATTGAAATACATACTTACAAAAAACATAATGATCCGCTGTTTCGAAAAGCTCTATCAGGTTTTCTCTTTCAAATTTTCTCTCCAATCTTTTTTGTACAATATGCCAGGAAGAGTAGGTACCGTACAATTTTGTGCCAAATCTGCTGAGCGGAAAAATATAAGGCATTCATTCCATTTAAGAAATTAAAATTTTGTAATATATTTACTCGTGTCCAAACTCAGTATAAAAAAATACATAAATAATACATAAAGAATATAAAGATATAAGATATATATAATATAAAGATATAAAAAAATACAAAAAATATAAATAATACAGGGTTTTTCAAAAAACATGTGCCATCTCTTGTGGGGAGATTCCTCACGTAAAAATAAGATTTATTTTTTATATCAACATAGGTCCGATTCTGCTTTCTTTTGTATCTACAGGGGGTCAGAGCCCTCTTTTTTTTTCGATTTATTTTTATGTTCTTCCAAGTACCGTATGATCGAAAAAAAACGGCGTCCAGTTGGCTTGGAAATGACGATCGATGACATTTCCCATATAATTTTACATTTAAAATGACAGCGATCTTCATTTCATAGCCATCGCTGACGCCGTTTTTATTCGATCATACGGTACTTTCAGGGATTCGAATGGAATTTTGAGGGTATACGTTTTAGAATTAGAATTCTAACAGAGTATATATGCTTTTAGCGATTCAAATGAACTTTTGAAGGTAAAAGTTACTATAAAGGTTGTCGCCCACTAGGCCGCGGCGCGGCGCTGGGAAGAGAATTTTTTCCGGCTGCGAAGAGACTGCGCCCACTATAGAGCGCTTTTGAAACGCGGAAACGCTATTTAGTTAGTCGAAGTGGGGGGTTTAGTTTTTAAAGCAATGAGTTCAAGTACGGACGAAAGCGTATTTTTTGTGCTCTTCTAATAGAGGTAGAGGAAGAGCAGGTGTAGAAGAAAAGGAAAGTTTGGCCTCATAAGATTAACAAAAAGGAAAGAAGTTTGGAGAATTTTACCATCTTTTTCCTGATTTAATAAAAGACAAGAGCATTTTTTTCAGTATTATAAAATATAAAGGAAACATTTTACGAACTCCTCAATTGGGGGTTTTAGAAGCAAAACACCCGGTATCTCTACTCATCATATTTTTTCAGAAGAGACAAATTACTAACAATGCAATAATGAATCGCTTATAGCTGACGACTTTTGATAATTCTTATTTATTCTGATGTGTATATTAGTTATGTGATGAAAAACCCCTAATTTTTTTATATATTTAGGTAATTAGAATTTAAAAATTGGAGATTGTCTTTTTCGTCAAAAATTGGAGATTGTCACTTTTGTCAAAAAGTGGAAATTGTGAAAAAGTGGAGAAGTGGCGGTTTTGCTTTTACACCCCTCAATGATATTAAATCTTTGATAGAAAAACATTTCGTCCATCTGTCTCTAGTGAGGGAAGACTAAAAAAATATCATATTCCTTTATGAAAATCTGTTTGCCTAATTTACCTTTAAAATACAATAATTCTACCATTGATACGTATCATTAGTTCCTAGTCAAAAAGCCAACTGAAGAGACTCGAGATGTAAAATTATTTCCGTTGTGAGTACGCACACTGCAACGGGCCGAAACGCGGGAGACGGAAAAAAGTTACTAGAGAAGTCTTCCGACTTCTTGACGGAAACTCCACGGCGCGCTTCGGCGCTGCGCGCTCTAATGTGCGTTGGTTCATTTAAATACATGGCAAGCAAACAAAAGAAATTCCCATATAGCGGTCTAGTGGGCAACAACCTTAAGTGCGACATTTTAATGCTAAAAAAGTGACGACAGATTCATCAGGGACGTGCATATGGGTTTTCACTGGATTATTTTTCTAAAAAAACATGTGCGCCACTGACTTTTTTCTCTTGCCAGCAAAATTGTGTAGACCATTTAATGCCAATTAAAAATAGTCTCTTCATATTTTGTCGATTCGCTCTCCTTGATGCGATAAACGTAATTTTATTAATTTGCTTTATCCAAGTCTAATAGCAACCTTTAAATTGTTTTATTGTCATTAACTGGCGAAAGTATTAAATAAGTACTCATTGATACCAAATCAAAAAATATGAGAAAAAGTTCCTATAAACATGGATGCATAGTTTTAAAGTTACAGAATGGTAAACGGTAAAACTTTTAAAAACTTGGTCATTTGTAATTACCTTAAATATCATTGTTTATTGAATTTGTCGTAGGTAGCACTGAACACCAGTGAAATACATTTTAATGAAATTTAATAATAAATTATATTAAATAAATAATTTATTTTATTAATTGTGATTAACAAAATTGCGTTGGTTTCATCAAGGAGATCGAAATGGACAAAATATCAAGAGACAACTTTTAATCGGCATTAAACAGCCTACATTTTGCTAACGAGATAAATAAGTCAGTGGCGCATATTTTTTTTTAGAAAAATATTCCAGGTGATAACCCAGGGTCGTGCATATACCCTGGTGAATTTGTCACCTTAGTAACTTTTCATTTACATTTCAAAATTTCATTTGAATCGCTAAAAGTTCGTGGAAGAAAATTATAATAAATCGAAGACTTTAACCAAGCTTTAACCCCGTGTAGCTACGATATAAAGCAAAATCAGACCTATGTTAATATAAAAAACTAAATCTTTTTTTGCATGGGGAATCTCCCCACGAGAGATGACACATGTTTTTTGAAAGACCCTGTATAAATATGAACAAATATGCACAGAGAGCAAGACAAAAAGTTAACAAACGATTCAAAGACTGTAACCTCCTGTAGATAGAAAACAAAGCAGAATTGGACCTATGTTGATATACAAAAATAAATTTTATTTTTACGTGAGGAATCTCCCCACGAGAGATGGCACATGTTTTTTGAAACACCCTGTATAAGTATGAACAAATATGCACAGAGAGCAAGAGTGTTAACAAACGATTCAAATTCAAAAAGGGTACATCATACATATAAAAACTAGTCAAAGTACAATCAACAGAAATGAAACAAAATTTTGTGACCATAATAATACAATATGTTCGAAAAAAAAACCGCGTCAAAGCTGGTTATGAAATGAAGATCGCTGTCATTTTAGATGTAAAATTATATTGTTTTTTCGATATTTATATGTTTTTTCGATCAATGAATCAGGAATTTATTTACATAATAGATTAGTGAAATCTGAAATAGGAAACCTGGGGATTTTTTCTGAACACTTGATTACCCTTTATACTGTATACCTATTATTAACAGCATACTTAAACTCTTTTAGGTTCCTCTGGTACCATTTGTACCCTGCATAAGCGTCTTCTCCAACCTGTACCTTATGTTACAGTTGGATCTTGAAACATGGATCCGATTTGTTGTCTGGCTTTTCATTGGTAAATAACCTAAATGTATAACTAATACACCAGAATGTTTAATCTTTTTTTTTCTAGGTTTTTTAATATACTTTCTGTACGGTATGAAAAATAGCGTTGAGGGAGAAAAAAGAAAGATAGAACATCTGCAAATGCTTGCTAAACGAAAAAGTATCGAAAAAGATAACAAGGATAGATTTGCACCTCTACCTCAGTAAAATGACTTCATAACTTTGACAACAAAAACTGAATCCCATTAGAATTTATACTTGTAACATTTTCTAATTTAATTTTAAGTTCTAGAATTAAGTATCTAAAAAAATCTATGATTTTTTTATAATACGCTAAACTGTATCATAACCATTTATCACAATGGTGTACTACATACTTAATAACTATATGTGATATAAGGTACTTAGTTAATGACCAATATTTTCAATGTTAAGGCATATTTCAATGCTGAATGATATAACAAATCTTTTGATATTGAAATATGAATATTGGAAAAATCATCTACTACCAATACTACTGTGATACAATTCGTAACTTATTCATTTTATTTGTGACCTTTATTGTAGGCGAAGCGATATTTTTGTATTGTTTTTTAAAATAAAAGTTGATTATAAATATCACAACTGAAGTTTTACAATTTTATTCTAACGAGTTAAAAAACAATAACAACTTGCAATTTATAAAAATGTTTTGTTTAATTATTTTTATGTTAGTTATTTGCTTGATGTATTTTTAATAGATTTATTTAATTTAGTTATAGTGTGTTCCTATATTTGATTTGTTTTAAATATTTAATATACACTGTCTTCCTTTCTGATTTCTTATTTATATCCTTCGCCATCTAATAATGTATTAATATTAATCATAACTGGTATCTGCCGGCCAAGTGACAAGTTTAAGCACGCGATTTGTGCTGAAAGTCTGCATCAACGCCATTTAACACAAGTTAATTAACAATTAGATTCTATTTAAAGAGGAGCCCATAAAATGTCGCAAAATCAAGTGTTTTTTCTAGTTACATATGAAATAATAACGTTCAACTGTCCAGTTGTTCAGTGTTCAGTGTTCTTAAAGAGTGTCTTACATGGAGAATACATTTTTCAGACTCCAAGATCGATAGTGATAGTGGTAATATAAATCAGCTATAAGGTAAGACTTGAGTTACCAAAATTCTAGATTTATTGTTAAAAAAAAATATCGTGTAATTTTTGCAATGATATATAAATAAAAATTTGAATCTTAATATATATTTATTCCAGTCGTTTTTGTATTTAACTTATCATGTTATTTTTTACTGATTGGACTAATTTCATAAAATTTCAAAATAATCACACCTAATTACACCTGAAATTATGATTTTTAATTAAAAAAAATCAGGAACTGCTAAAACAGGAAAATCGGCTATATTTGAGTATTTGTACTTGTTAAAAAATGTATTTGCATCAATAATGTCTGCATCAAGAAACGTCAAACCAAGTTTTATTAGTATTAAATTTAATAACAAAAACATCACTTGCCTGCAATTTAAATGAATTGTTTAAGTTCAATGTACAATACAAAACAAAAAAAAATGAGTAGATATGTATTTGTATTTTCAAAAGATATCTAAATCAACAATTTAGTTTAATTCATTGATTTAAGTGCTATTTTTCGAAAATATATAATTATTATGAAAAAGATATCCGCTTTAATATTAAGTACAATAAAATTGTAATGTAAATTATTAAGGGAATTAAATTAAATGTTATAAAAGAAGGCTTAAAACGATGCTAATTTAACCCAAAATTTTAGAAGATTTTTGGATGTCATTATATTAATATACAGGGTGGTCCCAATTGTATTTAATACTAAATAAAAATTAGAAATAAATTTAAAGCTGTTTTAACCAATTTCACGATGAATTTTTCACTTGGCGAATTAATAAATAGATTTTATTTTGCTGATGCTGCTGAAAAGAATCATTATACATGGTGGTCCAACCTGTATTCCGGAAATTTTGGCAGCATATTCTGCGGATAAAAATAAGTAAAAAGTTTGTATAAATGTTTATTTCGATTTTTTACAAATAATTTCTGAACTATAGTCGATAAATTGATGTCTAGGTGTTCTTGAACATGAGAAATTTGATTTCAAAATGTCACAATACGATTCCTACTTGCAGGTGGTGCCGCGCCGCCTACATGTGTTTTGGTTTTGTTTGGTTTTTCATCCGCAGCTGTATAAAACTACTGATTGAAAAAATCTTTGAATAAGAAGACTAAGGAAGGAGCATAATGCTATCCATGTATTCATGCATGGTGGGCGGAAAAGGAATCTAGGGTGGGGATACTTGACAGTTCTGTTTGACGATTCATTTGACACATTTGAATTTGATTTGAAATTTTGTGGATTTGTCAGTCTTTACGGAGCTTATTTTATGTTATTTATTATTTATTCTACTACTGATAGTTGTATAAAGGTAGTAAATCTAGATGGAAATTGTGGCAGAACTTAAATTAACAGTGACACTATCGCGATTTATCAAAAAAGACTCTAAAATAGTTGGTTGTGTAGCGTGCGGTAGATCTCGGCAAAAATCGAGTGAAATAATGGAACAACTTTTCGCTAGTAAGTGACTATATGATATACATACGTGTAGTAAACCGATCATTTATGAAATTCATTTAAATTAACTAATTATATATTTTTTCTTGCATTTTTGCTTTTATTTACTACTTGTCAAAGATTAGATGTCAAAGAATTTAGATACGTCAATTTGACTTACCTACTTCAGTAGCTTATCGGTTGTTTATGATTATAAATAATTATTATAACTTATCTATTTTTATTAGAATTTTATATTTTTATAACAATTTTAATAACTACCAACATTTATTCACAACGTAAAATAAAAAAAAATTATTGAGTCTACCCCACGTCTACCCTACATCATAGTTTTACATTTTTTAAATAAAATTAGAACGGCACTGATAAACCGGAATTTAAGTCGGTCATATTTGAAGCCTATCTAAGATTTTTGATATGCTCCTTCCTTAGTATTCTTATTCAAAGGAAAAAATATATATTTTTGTCACTTTCTACGTAAAAAACGTCTCTTAATAAAAATCGCTATGAGCAACCCTTTGAGCAACCATTCTCAAGATATTTAGAATGGAAATTGTCAATACATGTCATTATTGACAAAAGATAAACATGTTGAGTGGATAGTTATTTGGATAAACTTTGAAACTTTTTATTTTTTAAATTGTTTCTTCGGAAAAATTACGACAAAACAGTTTCTGTTGAACTTTTGATACAAAAACATCTCAAATTTTATTATTTCATTCTAATAACTGGTCAACATGTTTAATTTGTCTCAGTTATGACAAGTATTGATAATTTCGATTTCTAATATCTCGAAAACTATTACTCGTAGCGATTTTTAAAAAGAGGCTTTTTTTACGTAAGAAAACAGGTCGTAAATGTATATTTTTTTACTCAGTAGTTTTACACAGGTGCGGACGAAAAGTTAATAATTACTCTTGAAGAGCCAGTTAAAAAATATGTTAAACCAGTTAAAAAATATGTAGGTGGAGCCCTCTACAAATAGCAGTCATATTGACATATTCGAAACTAAGCATTTTAGGGCATACATTTATAAGAACTTGTTTACTTATTTTTATATGCAATGCTGCCGAAGTTTCCCGAATACAGTTCGGACCACCCTGTATAAACAAGGTTTATTATTACTGGCGTTTTGTTTTTTACATGTTCGAATATTTGAATATAAAATATCACTGTTTTTAGTAAAGACGGGTTTAATATAACACTTTATAAACAAGGATATAACGAAATAACTTACCTTTATTTATATTCTATAAAGGTAGTTTACACACAGAGGGTTTTCCTAAAAGCAAAACTGCGCAGTGGAGGCCTTGAGTATTTTATTTTTAGCAAGTAGTTCTCAAGACTTTTTTAAATGGCTATCATTTTGTAGCATTCGGCTTAATATCTTTCAGTCTTTCTGTCGATCTGTCGTTACTGCAAGTGAGAAGGCTATCGTTGGTTGGCATGACTCTCGTGACTTTTTCTTAGCTAGCTCTAAATACTAGTTCCAATGTCTTTTAGTAGGCGATATCTAATGATGGCCGGCTAAACCCGGTTGCGGACGGCGGGTTCCAAACCGTTTCCAAACAATCGGGCTTTACCAATTGAGGGCAAAACGAAGCAGAATCTGAAGAAATGATAAGTGTAGTCACTAAATGATTAAGATTCATTGACTTATACAGGGTTGTTCACCACATACGACACGGAGTATTTTAGCTAAACGATTAGATTTTTACAAATTGTAAGTTTTGGGTTCGTTGAAGGACTATTAGAGCTACAATTTAAAAATATTTTTACAAGATACAGAGTGTCCCAAATAAATAAAAAATATCAAAGTTGTATTTTTTTAAATGGAACACCCTGTATATTATTTCATTTTTAGTTTCTACGATTAAAATAAAGGTAAATTTGATAAATGTTTATTACACTTAAACCTTACCGTTTTTGAAATATTTTCATTTTGTGAAATTGCAGTCAAAATTTTAAGGCTTCATTTCTACAAGGGTATCAAAGTTTTTAATACTAAATATTTACTGAAGTTTATTTACTGATCAATTATTGTGTTGCAATAATAAAAATTATACTACCTTATAGAGAGTGTCTGAAATTTTATTTTAAATAATTACTAGCTTTAAACGGCAATAACTTGTTTAATTTAAATAGAACTCCCTGTATATTTTATGAGAATCAGATGCACAGTTTAATTGTCTATCAAATTGTATTATACCATTTTTTACCTATCTCTTCAAGTTCCCGTAGAAAATGCATTTTCTTGTAATTTAAAACTCATTTATCAATATACCCATGGAATACTGATATTTTAGATTATTTTTGTTGTAAGATGTACCAAATTTTTAAAGAGTACAGATACTAATATTGTCGATATAGTTTGTTTATTTCATTAAAAAATAAAAAAACTGTTTAAATATTTGTTAAAGAGGACCAATTAATATGATTCCAGTATTCAAACTACATTAATTGGCTGTTTGTTTTGATTAATAATAATTGCTCTAAATACTAAAAAACCTGAATTTTGTATGTGTATTAGACAGTGTGGTAAAAAGTAACACCTTAAAAATGATATTTTATTTTTTGACAAATGCTTATTTATAACAACAGACATTTTTGAGACATTCATTTTGATAACTTATTATTATATTGATTTCTGATTCAAATCCACACTTATTTAGAATAATTTATTAACGATCATAATTAAGTATGTAATTAATTAGTATTTGGGCGGAAATAATGGTGGTATATTTTATTAATGGTATACTCTTTTATAAAGATTTAAATAGTTTTTTTTGCATACAAATAGGCTAGTAATATTATCATTTTGCTAAAAGCGACTATATTACTAGCCTGTACATTTGTTGCTTTAAAAACAATCTAAAATGTCAATATTCCAAGGGTATATTGATGAATGAGGTCTAAATTATAAGAAAATGCATTTTCTAAGAAAATTTGAAGGGATAGGTAAAAGTGGTATAATACAATTTGATAGACGATTAAATTGTGCATCTGATTCTCCTAAATATACAGGGCGTTACATTTAAATTAAACAAGTTATTGCCGTTTAAAGCTAGAAATAATTTAAAATAAAATTTTAGACACTCTGTATGAGGTAGTATTATTTTTATTATTGCAACACAATAACTAATCAATAAATAGACTTCAGTAAATATTTAATATTAAAAACTTTGATACCCGGAGAAATGAAGCCTTAAAATTTTGAGTGGAATTTCACAAAATTGAAAATATTTCAAAAACGGTAAGGTTTAAGGTGTAATAAACATTAATTAAATTTACCTTTAATTTAATCGTAGAAACTAAAAATGTAATAATATACAGGGTGTTCCGTTTAAAAAAATACAACTTTGATATTTTTTATTTATTTGGGACTGTATCTCTGTATCTTGTAAAAATATTTTTAAATTGTAGCTCTAATAGTCCTTCAACGAACCCAAAACTTACATTTTGTAAAAATCTAATCATTTAGCTACAATACTCCGTGTTGTATGTGGTAAACAACCCTGTATATTTAGGTCGAAAACTCTCTCATGCCTTTTTGTATGGCTGGTTTTTGTATAAATATTGTAGAATATTACTATAAAGTAGTATCAAAAGTATCAGACACTTTCCACGGACCTGAACTTTTATCAGACGATAGCAAATCAAAAAGTGGATCTTTGATAAGATAGACTTTATCAAAGCTCCACAAAAAATAAAAGAAGTTTACTTATTTTTACATGTCTGATTTTTACATATGTTATTAAGACAGCTATTATAAAGTTATATTTAATCAGTCAGACAGATTGTAATGACCAAACATCCTCTAAACACAAAAATTATTCAGCCCTGACTATGAGCGCGGGAGAACTCTACGCATACGTTTCCGAGTCATGTATTTAAATATTTTAAAAATACTTACTGCTTTCGATTATTTTTGCATCTCTATTTAAATAAGATGAGTTTTTTTTTATTAAAGTAATAATTAAAAATTATTAAAGAAATTAATTTATTGGATATAAACTACTCAAAACAATTATCGCATATTTTCTAAAAAAATATTAATTTGAAAGACACCTTGAATTCTCTGACTTACATTTTTAAATAGTTTGGATACTCTAAAGGGAAATATTCGAAAATAAGTCTAGGGGTGACATACAATTTTTAGTCGACCGATTATTTAGTTGTAAAAGTGAAAACAATACATACGTGATACATACTGGAGCCGATCTGCCGACTATTATTTGATTGCATGTGAGCGCGGCTCCATAAGAACCCGATTGGTTATAAGTCTGCAACTAAATAGTCAGCCTACTAAGAATTGCCTGTCACCCCTAGACTTATTTTCGAAATTTTCCCTTTACAGTATCCAAACTATTTAAAAACTTAAGTCAGAGAATTCAAGGTGTCTTGTTTTTCAATTCATTTCGATAATTGTTTTCAGTAGTTTACCTATATGCAATAAATTAGTTTACTTAATTAATAATAATAATTAATTATTAACATTCGTTTGCTGTGATTAATTTAATAAAAATTTCAAGTTTCAAAAAATTATATTTTTTTGCTAAAATTATATAAAACATAGTAAGTTACGCCACAGACAAAAAAGCCCTTGTAAAACCTACAAGATTAATTCCTAACATATTATTTTTTCTTTATTGTTCTGTAATTAAATAATAAACAATGTCAATATTTAGGATATCAACCTTGTTGCCATGGTATATAGAAAACAAAATCTTTTTTTGTCAATCATTTATAAAAAGTACCTTTTTTAATATGGTATTGCGTCAAAGTGGGTTAATTACTGTCCACTGTCTTCTTTTTTTGCTATTTTTAATGAATGTTTCGTAAAAAAATGAGAGGAACTGAAAGGGGATTCGTTTGAAAGGGGAAATAATAAAAGGGTTTATGGTCACCCAGTTGGTCATAAAGCAGTGGCGGGCCGCGACCTTTCTGTTTCTTTTATCTGATGAGTTTTTATAATTTATAAAAATAGATTGGTGTTTTTGAATGAAAAACGTCTCGCTTTTTCATTTCAATAACTTGGTAACTTCACTATCATTAGTTCTCCATAAACGCCCCAACATGTGTCACATAACAAGATAACAAAAAAAAATTGCATTAAAAGAAAACAAATAAGAATATATAAATTATAAATATTAAAGATTTTCTTCAACAAAGCACCATTAATTTTAACTTGGTTCCGATTGCAATTTAACGCTAAAAAAATGCCCTATGATTATTGGACTATGCGTCAAAGACGGCTATCTATGACAGTCGATAATAATTCAAGGGTCAATCTCTAAACGTCATTTACTAAAAATTGACATAAAACTTGTCAAAAATTAACATTAATTACAGATATATTAAAAACAGGATAAAACGTTTTCTGACACATAAATCGCATTCAAAAAATTATTTTTCTCGAATTTTAAACTAGACCATTTAAAAATCATTTTCACCCGTTATAAAAATAAATTACAAGCTTGGCCAATTGGCAGTAAGCAAGCACTATTAAAAAATAAAAAAGGTTAAGGACAAAGTAGGCCTGTTCGAAAAACCGGAACACCGTTTTAACACCGGTGGCCAAATATGAGCTATGCGGTGTTCCAGTGTCGACACCGGTGTTCATTTCGATACCGTTGTTCGCCTACAACACCAGTGTTCATCTACCTAACAGTGTCGAGATGAACACCGGTGTTGGTCTGGACACCGCTGTTCATCTAGATACCGGTATTGACTACGACACCGGTGTTTTGGTAAATGGGTTAAAGAAGAGAGAAATACTCTTAATTAATAAGTTCAAAATAAACCAGATAATATGTCGTATCGGTGCTTATTTTTATCGTTTATTAAAGCGCACCGACGTTTTTTTTATTTATTTTGCCAGACTAATCGCTAAAATAAAGTGGAAGCGTCAAATAAACAACTATAAAGTAAACAATTGTTTAATCAAAAACAAGCAGAAAACAAAATATAAGGAAACAAAAATTCGTAGCTGTAAAATAAACTAAAAAATATTAAATTAGCAAAAAAAAAACAAACGGCACCATCGACACCGGTGTTCATCGCGATACCGATGTTGACGCTGTCACTGGTGGCGACATAAACACCGGTGGCGGTTAGGTGAGACCGGTACACCGACTGAAACACCGGTGGTCATCAACACCTAACACCGAAAAGGCCTAAAAGTAATGAGGTCTAGGGCTTGACCTCGCCAAAATTATCAACAGTTGTCAACCGTTTGTTTTGATCATACGGTATAAATTGTGACTTATTTCCTTAACCAAAAAAATATTTAAAGAAATTCGAAACTCTATCTACTCCAATGACGTAATTCCCTGCGGCTCGACGGACCAGGCGAGCCGCGGCCTTGCGTAGCGCACCGCGATATATTTGCTCGCGATTAGGAGTGACTCTCACCGGAGCCCATGTTGCATCAGAAAATAGTTTATTTTTACCGGTAGGCATAACGTGAATCGCTGCCATGTGCTTGCTCAGTATTCGCAATAGAAGTTAATGCAAGGTGTGAAAATGTGCAGTGTAGAATCGTAAAATGATAAACAATAATTGCATTCGTTCTTTTAACGTGACACAAGGCGCCAGTATTCTAAATATACATAACTATACAAATCGAATTCAATTATTACGGAAAAAAATTGGAATTTTACAGTTCAATACACCAATACTGATTTCATTTTAATACAGTTTTTTTGAGTTAATACTAGAGATTAGTTTTACGGCGATAAATTCACTTTTACTTAACAAATCTCGAATTATTTGTACTGCCAAATTACTGGCCCCAAAAAACGAATTGGAATTCGAATACTTCCTTAATTGATGACAATTGTTGTCTATACTGCCAATTAAGACAACAGGCTGTGCGTTAAAATAAGTATTTATTTTCTTTAAGTATTATTAATTCAGTATTGAACACTATTAGAAGAGTCAGCAAAAATGGAAGAAATATTGTATATCTTCAACATAGGTAAGTTTAAAAAATACATATTATAATAATATATACACTTTATAAAAGATTCTTAACAAAAATATATCAATATTAATTTAAATGGACCATATGATTTAAATTTCTCTTTAAGGTCTATTATTATTGTCCCAATATTGGATTTGTTCCATGTTTGGTTTGGATATAAAAGTGATGTAATATTAAGTTCGAGTGATTTATACCTATAGATAATTCTATATTTCCATGACATATAAAGTAATTTTTGATTTACGGAACATATTTTAGTCCAATAAAATTAGAAAACAAAATAATATAGCCCGAAAACCAAGAATCAATTAATATAATACTAAATATAAAAAAGTAGAAAACAAAAAAAATACAGTGTGACGGAAAATATTTTATATCATCCTGTTTCCCATTCGAAATGATATATATAAACTACCTATTTTTTTATTTACGGAAAAAACCTTAGTCCACAAAAATTAGAAAACTGAATAATAATAGCCCTAAAAACAAGAAATAATTAAAATAATAATAGTTATGGAAAAGTAGAAAAAAAATATAGTGTCGATTCTAGATTCTACAGGGTGGTCCGAACTGTATTCCGGAAACTTCTGCAGCATATTCTGCAGATAAAAATAAGTAAAAAAGGTCGTATAAATGTATCTCCTAAAATGCTTAGTTTCGGAGATGCAGGGTGTAGAAGTTTCATTTTTATTTTGATTTTTTCCAAATAATTTCTGAATTAACGTCAATATTTGGATGAAAATTGGTGCCTGGGAGTTTTTTGACATGAAAAACTTGAATTTGATGTCAATGTGACTCCTATTTGTAGACGGCGCCACCTACATGTGTTTTAACTGTTTTAAAAAGTAATAATTTTTCGCCCATACCTGTATAAAACTACTAAGTGAAAAAATATACATTTCCGTGACTTTTTACGTAAAAAATGTCTCTTGGCAAAAATCGCTACGAGCAACCGTTCTGAAGATATTTAGAATGGTCAATACATGTCATTGTTGACAAAAATCATTATTAATAAAGAATCTAAATAAAAATGAAACTTCTACACCCTGTATTTTCGACACTAAGCATTTCAATAAGAACTTTTTTACTTATTTTTATCTGCAGACTATGCTGCCGAAGTTTCCGGAATATAGTTCGGACCCACCCTATATCACATTTCCTATTCGAAATTTTAACTTATTTTTTTTACCAAACATTAAGGTAATTATAGCGCAAATTTTGAATACCTATATATTCTTTTAAAATAACGGTACAGATAACATAGTGGCTGTGGTACAGATTACAGGGCAAACACAATTATTAATGTCTGAAATTTTGAAAAAAAAACTATACTGACACAAAAATACTTTTTAATATTCTATACACACACGTAATGACTAGTAATGTAAAGATTGTCAATTTTTTAACATTCGTGATTGTCAGTGCGAATATCTGCCGCCATATTGATTATTTGTTGATAAATCAATATAAAAAATCTTTTAAATGTTATTTGTTTTCTAAAAAGTTTAATTGTAGAATATGTTGTTTGTTATTAGTATATGCAGCTATAAAAAAGATGTTAATTTTGAGTTCGACATTAAAGTAGATGAACAGATAGATAAAAAATTAAGAGAAGAATACATTAGATTATTGAATTTTTGTCAAAAATATGTTTAACAGAGGAATATTTTTTGTTATTAATATTTTTAGTTTCTTAAAACAAGATGATTATTTTCAGTACAAAATAAAGTAAAATACATCTTAAAAGAAGAATATTCATGTTTTTTGGTAAGTTAATATTTAATGAAAAGCTGATGATTTATGATACCAGGTAAATCAATTTCAAATATTAAAGTGAACGCTAATTACAATTATTATAATTACAATTGATATAATTTGGAAGACTTAAAAATTATAAGAAATTCATATTTCTTTCGTTTAATTTACTCCATGTTATTTACATTTAATATATTTTTTCGAATGTTGATATTTGCATAAATTGTGCGAATGCGAATGCGAATATTCGTTGCATCACTAATAATAACACAAAAATCTTTTTTAACATTCCATACACACGTTGCTCAGCATATTATATCAACAGATGATTAAACTTGAACATTCTTATCATATACACTAAACACTACACACATAGTTAACATTGCATATTTCATCCACAACAAACCAGCATCCAGTAATAATTAAAAATGCAAAAAATCGTAATGCAGTATAGTGATTCAAGTTCTCATAATTTCTTTCAGTCCATTTAAACTAATTTGAAAATTGATTATTTTATAAACATAAGAAAAACATTCAAATTAGTTTCCAATAATACAACTCCGAGAGCTCCCTATTTAAGTAACACAATAACATTAGTATTTAGAATTACAGTTGGCTCCTTCCAATAACAACATAATAAAGACTATCTTATCAAGATTGTTAAGTACTATAATGTAATAATAATTATAGTTTATTGACCCTTCTGAAGATAGTATAAATATGCACATAAATAATTTTATGTCTTTAACTCTTTCGTTTCAAGTAAATTTTGCACGGTTAAATTTGTTTTATATTATATCTTTTAGACTCGACAGAAAAAATGCGACTACCCTCGTGGCAAGAAACCCAAAACGCGCTAAATCGTAAAAAAGGAATTATCCAAAACGACGACACAAAGTTGGCAAAAGTTTTAACCACACTAGATTTGACTGCTCTGGGTGTAGGAAGTACCTTAGGCGTTGGCGTATATGTACTGGCTGGAGAAGTTGCCAGAACCACATCAGGACCAGCCGTCATTATTTCGTTTTTGATCGCAGCCCTAGCCTCTATACTCGCAGGTACGATAAATGTATGTATTGTAATCGCAAAACATTTTTTGATGCACGTCATCAATCATATCGACATTAACATTAAAGTTTATAAACCTGACTAAATGAATGTTCTATAATTTAAGATGCCGAGCAGCTCTTCATTTTACTTTATAGAGCGAATGATTGTAACAGATACTTTATTTAGATTAAAGCTGCAAAAATTAGTTTAAACCGAATTTTATTATCGCTATGTTGGTCACATTGCGCGGTGTTCAGCAATGTTGTCCTTTATTATATGACAATTATCCTAATGTCAGTCATTATTTTGTATAATATCGTATTGTTGAATCGTTGTGAGCAATTCTCGTTTTTTTTGCATATTTTCGTAGTTTTTTTTCAAATATTGCACTTTTAAGCACAAACAGAACTAAATTTCCGAGTTTTTGTATTGCATTTCTTGAAATTGTGTGTTGAAAATATGCCGAGGCATTTAAACAGTCGAAGCAAAGAGCTTGTAGCTTCCCTGGTAAAAATAAGCACATTATACCACTTTCAAAGTTAGTTTTTATTAAATTATGTGATTATTAGTTTGTGCATTAATAGCAGCCTCTTACTTGTTATTACCACTTATGGTGTTGTAAGATGTACATAAATAAATAAATAAATAAATAACCCATAATAACGCTTAGAATAATCTTCATAATGGACTAGTTTTTGCCAATATGTAATAAGCAAAATAAGCTACAAAACAAATAAATCAATTAATTACTAAAATATTAGTTATTAAATTAAAAATAAAACGTAAAACTCTTTAAAAAATGATGTAATAAATATATTGTTTGTCAATTATTTTAAATTAAGATTCATCTCATAAATCCATCACAATCTGGCAGCGCTGTCGCCATCGCTTGTCACTCAAAGTTGATCACGTGCATCGGAAATTGTTTTGCGATTACCATAGGTAATTCATTTACACTTCATATACAGTGTCCACAAGAAAGTCTGCATAGAAAGTTTTTTTTTGTTATTTGGGACAGGTGAAATATGTATATGTCGCAGGCGTATCGAATAATCCGGCTTTTTGCAAAACGACTAGGCATATTATAAAACTCCGGCATTCTAAACAAAAGAAGTATTTTTTAAAGAGCCTATGTTCAGTCGCTTTGCAAAATGCCTAATAAGAATTAGGCATAATATTCAACAATGATATTTCTGAACAATTCTGCAATAAGACTATCTATATATATATAGTCTATTTTCAGCCATTTTATAAAATGCCAAATCGTAGACAGGTAGATTAAAAAGTGATTAAAGTTAAATCAGTTATGCTTACCTATAGCATATTGAATAACTTGCGCTCTAATAAAAATACCACATTTCATTTCGAAAAAACAATATTTTGTGTCAGAAAACGTTATTTTGTTTGAACGAAAACAAAATGAATCATTTAATATAATATAAATACAAAATATATTAAATACTTACCTAAATATATAAATACCGAAAAAAACCGGCGTCAGTGATGGTTATGAAATGAAGATCGCTGTCATTTTACATGTAAAATTATATAGAGAATGTCATCGATCGTCATTTCCAAGTCAACTGGACGCCGTTTTTTTCGATCATAAGGTACTAACTAATTATGTGTTATTATTGGTGTTATACAAGATACAAGGTGTCCCAATATTCCGTCGACATAGAACTACTACGTATTTTTGGAATCAAAGTAAGATCATTGGACACAATTTACCTCTATAAAAGTGCTTCCTTTGTCCGCCAGAAGGCATCAAACTTTAAAAAAGTAAACACAATTTTTCAGATACTTTAAGAACCATTATTCTGATTTGAATGAGATTTTGGGTGTATATCTTTTGTTAAGTGCTTTAACATTTGACTTTCGCATAAATCAAGAAAAAGTACGGAAAGGGTGAAAACTAATTATTCAACATGCCTGCGCGACATGTATCCCAAAATAGTTTCGTGGCCCAAAACATTTTCCTGAAAACATCCAAGTTTTTCCATTCACCTTTCCTTTAAAAATCCAAGTTTAAATAACTTTAACAATAAATTATGAACATAAATGAGCTTTGAATTTATGTTCATAATTTATGTTCATTTATGTGTTAAAATGCGTATGAGAAAAAATTACATTATATAATATAAACCTATATGACTTTTTGATAAATAAAAAAATAACAAAACAAAGGAATGGTAGAAAGTGTTAGCTTAACATTTTTTAAAGATAGGTGAATGGAAAAAAACTGACTGTTATACATACCTAGAAAATATTATGAGTCATCAAAATGTTCTTACCCTAAGCTAATACATTCTGACTATACATATACATATACAGTAGCTTCAGAAAAATTGGTCAATATGAAATTTAATAAATTTAAAGTTAGTTACAAATTTTGCTTGTCTACAAGAGTTTACACCGTAATAAACTGCAAAAAAGTAATTAATATTTAAACATTTTGAAACCGATATTCTTAGACCTCGCCATTATTTAATCAGTCATTCAATCACTGATTTTCAACATATACAACTTTATATAATTTTCAAACATTATTTTAGGACTTTGTTATGCAGAATTTGGTGCTAGAGTACCTAAAGCTGGTTCTGCATATGTCTACAGTTATGTGTGCATTGGAGAATTTTTCGCATTTATTATTGGCTGGAACTTGATCTTGGAATATCTTATAGGTAATGTTTACCTTGCTAGAAAAATGCTATTTATTAATTTTATACTAAATACCCTATGATCGAAAAAAACCGGCATCCAGTTGGCTTGGAAATGAACATCGATGATATTCCCAATATAATTTTACCCATATGTAAATATCATTTTATATTATAAAATGACAGCGATCTTCATTTCATAGCCATCGCTGACGCCGTTTTTTTCAATCATATGGTATATCAATCGTTATACATCTTAATATTGATCTAAAATTCCCTTTTTCTATTTCTAATAATTACAGGATCGGCGTCATGTGTGAAGGCATTATTTCTCTACTTTGATAATTTAGCAAATAACACCATGTCACACTATTTCGAACAGACAATGCCAATGAATGGTGGCCAAGTATCTACATATGCAGATATATTTTCACTTGCCCTCTCTCTAATATTTTCAGGTATATGTCTTAAAAATATTTATTTAGTTTACTGCATGCTTAACGAGTATATTATAGGTAAAGGAATAATAGTTTGTTTTCAACTTGTCTTTTATCTTTTCACCAGTTCTGTGCATGATTTCTGCGTAAGCATTAGGGAAACTTGATTATCTACCATATTGTCTAGTCTAGCTTTAAAGTCTTGATAAAATTTTCTAATCTCTATATTTTTATACAACACAATTATTTATGAATTATTTATCATAAACATCGCATAGTTATTTAAAAAAAAACATTAACTGAATATAATTGTTTAAAATAAAATCGTTTTTATTTATTTAATTCGTTCTCGTTTGGGTTGAATTTTTATTGAGAAATGTGCATTAGGTATTATTTTAAAATAAGAATATTGCTTTTGGCTGTTCTGTAATCTATGGCAACAAATATCTATTTACAGAGTGCATTATTTATTTTTATAATAACGATTACTAATTTACCGCTAAACCTATCGATTTAAATTTATGTTTAAATACAATATTTAGTTATTAATTATGAAACATAACACCAGCAATAATGATAACAACATAGTAATAATATAGATATGAGTAAAAATTCAAAACGTAAATATTTTTTCTACTAAATCCCTAGCAATTGGCACAACAGTTATCAAACTATGATGTTATCACGATCAAGTTTAAATGTCTGTCTGAGCACCTTAACTACAAATGACTAAAATAAACCTGACTACCATTACATATATATTATAAATACATTTTTTCAAAGAGTTATATTCTTATATTATTAATAAATATTATAAAAGTTAATGACCTTATTAAATATTTTGTGTTTCCCAAATTTGTATAAGTATATTGAGTGACTTATTTAATCTTATTTTTGATTCGATATAGAGTAGGTTGTTCATCTCATTATAGGCCTACAAAAGATACTTAGTTCTTAATTTTGTATATTGTTGATTGTACTACACGATTTTCCGAATACCAGCACGTATTCATCTCTTTCTATATAAATAAAAAAAATATAAACACATATTTTGTTAGATATATATTTTGTAACAACGAAGAACTATGTGGCATGTTACGCCTCTCCATTATTTTTCAAGAAAGAGAGAGAGCGATTTAAAGTGGTGGTTATTCGATAGGATTGTCAGGTCAGATCGTCAAGGATCAACAGGTCGCAGTGAGATATTATAGTTTCGTTTATTCAATTCAGAGTTTTACTAATTATTAATAATACAGCCTGATATAAATTGGCGCCCAACGTGGGGTCGATGCAAGCAAACATGTAGTAAAAACTGGAAGAACTGCTTGAATAAACCAAAAATTTAATATTTACTACTAAGTGTTACAACCTCATTGAAAAAAAAGACAGTTACTTTAAAATCTCTCTAGAGAAAAAAGATGGAATCGTCCAAACTGAGGACGATATATAATTCTTCTGTATTACAATTAAAAAATATTAAAAACTAAATAAAATCTTGAGTAATATTGTGTCTTATATTATAATATGTTTTGTTTTAGTTGCTTTAGCATTTGGAGCCAAAGAATCTTCCGTAGTCAATAACTTATTTACTTTTGTAAACATTAGTATTGTACTATTTGTCATTATTTCTGGAATATTTAAAGGTGAGGAATAATATTAATTACCTTATACCTTTTGATAATAATTTGATACTATATAGCAAATCCTGGAAATTGGAGTAGAACAGCTGCTGAAGCTAAAGGAATGGGACAGGGTGGATTTGCTCCGTATGGAATCAAAGGTATCATCAAAGGAGCTGCCAAATGTTTCTACGGCTTCATCGGATTTGATTGCATAGCAACTGCAGGTAAGAACCTGACTAACATTTTATTAGATTGATTACTAGAAATAAAACGTTACAGGTGAAGAGGCAAAAACACCACAAAAATCAATACCTATTGGTGTTGTAATGTCGTTGCTTATTGTTTTTCTGGCTTATTTTGGAATGTCGACGGTTTTAACAATGATGCTGCCATACTATGAACAGGTACTATTTTTTTTAAAGACAGATTATAAAATAAAAAAACTGCAGTAGCTAAAAAGAAGTAAAACTAGATTATTTTAGGATACCACAGCACCCTTAGCCCATGTTTACGATGTCATCGGCTGGACTGTGGTAAAATATGTAGTCAGTATAGGCGCTTGTTGTGGTTTATTCTCAAGGTACTAATGATAATGATTATTAAAATTATTTAAATTTCTATAAACTTTCGTAAAGTTTATGACATTATTAGTTTGCAATTTGGTAGTAATACTAATAATCACATTATAACAATTACATATTAAATATAACGCCTATATAGTTGTGTATCAAATAAAGCTCTAACTACAAAAAGACGAATTAAAAACAATAGTTTAAAATTTTAAAAGTAGATCGTTTCCCTAATTTGATAGCATATTGTGTCCAAGTTTTATATGGAGCTTTCTTAGGGGCTTGAAACTATAGCCGGTATATTATTAGATTTTTAAATTTTAATTTATTTTAATAACTTCACTTTAAGATGAAAAATATAGTGAAAACTGCGAGTGTTTTTTTCTATAAATAAACAAACGATATTTATTCAATTACACTTCAATTCAGAGTGGTATTGAATTAATAGTTAACTGTTAGATTCCAATAAATATAAAAAATAGATATATGTTTTTGCAACACAAGAAAAAGGTGACATTTTGTTCCCTTCACTTGGCGCAGAAACATAGTAATATGTCAGTTTATTCTGTTATATCTTCTTTTTGCAAACTATGGTGCTTTTATAATATAATTTATGTAGAAAATAAATTTTGATTTAATTAATAAAAGTACTTCCAAATTTCTTACAAATACGCTCATTAAAATGTTGCTCAGCTTTGAAATTCAAAATTTCTAGAGTCCTAATTCTCGTAAAGATATTATTTGTTTTTATTTATTCTAAAACACTTTTACAGCCTCCTAGGTGCTATGTTTCCTTTACCACGAATCATATATGCTATGGCTTCTGATGGACTTCTGTTCAGAATGTTGGCAAAAGTACATCCAAAATTCCACACTCCCTTTATGGGTACCTTACTAGCTGGAATTGTCACTGGTAATTTGACCATTAACTATTGATTTCGTAAATTTTTGTAAAGTGGTTTATGATTTTTAGGTTTATTAGCCTGCATTTTTGAATTAAGGAAGTTGACAGAGATGATGTCCATTGGAACACTTTTGGCATATTCAATGGTGGCCGCGTGTGTTTTAGTTTTAAGGTAATTTTTAATACGATTTTTTGGGAAGACGATAATTTCGCTAATCAAAATCTTTAGTTTATAAACAAGCTCGTTATAACAGTATTTATATGATATTCGCAAGTAAGAATTTTACCCACAAACTAGACTGTGTTAGTGCAAACCACACACCAAATTTCAATTTTGCAATGCAGATCGTTTTTGAAACAAATCACAAATCAATAAAATAACATGGTGATTTTAGCCTACCCTGTACAGGGTGGGTCAAATTGGGCGTTTTTAAAGGGAAACACCCTTTTCTATCGGAGATAGACGAAAACTAATATAGGTGTCTGGAGCTCAATTTTTATCAAAAACATGATGGTGAAAAACGCACATCGATATCTGTTATCGTTTCGGACTTACGGGGTGTTTTTCAAAAATGTTCATTTTTAACAAATCGCTGTAACTTTTTTACTATGGAAAATTTTGTATTTTTGTGAAAACAACTCCAAAGCACCTTTTTACGTAGAATTGAATGGTTTAAGTATATATTTTTTAAAATGAATAATTTAAGAGTTATCAACAGAAAAATTGATTTATTATTTGGGACACCCTGTATATTTTTAATTAAGTGAAAAGAACTTAAAATTACCTTTCCAAAAATATAGCACACTTGGTATTTTGTTATATTCAGAACGCTGCAGTTATCAACAAATTTTTGCAGCCAATTTTGAGAATAATTGAATAGTTAGCCAAGATCCCAGCCGTTGGCCATCGAGGCCGCCGGACTTGGTGCCTATGGATTTTTATCTTTGCAGAAGAATAAAGGTTCTTAGTTTTAAATTGCCCGTATAATCTAGACAAGAATTAGAAGTACTTATCGATTATGCGAGGGTATCACCCCCACTGAGTTTATGAATTCCGCGAGAAATTTTCAAAAACGGTTCCGTCTGTCCATAACAGAAGACGGTCGATATGTCGAACATCTGTAGCAAAATCTCATGTCTTGGGTTTGGTTTGGTTTGGTTGCTATTTATTTTTATTGTTATCAGATATATTTTAAATGTGTTGATTTTGTTAAATATAGCTTAAATTGTTATAAAATTCTGCATCTCTCATTGCAAATATTATTTTCGTTTTAATTGCTGCACAATTTTTTTTGCATTACAGCCGTTCAAAGCCTACTTATTCAAAGTAGGCTTTGAACGCGATAAACTCTATATCGCGAACAGGAATCGAGCAAAATATCAAGTGTGCTATATTTTTGAAAATGTAATTTTCAATTCTTTTCAATGAATTAAAAATATACAGGGTATCCCATATAAAAAACAAATTTTCTGTTGCTAATTCTTAAATTATTAATTTTAAAAAAATTATACTTAAACCATTAAATTCTACGTAAAAAGGTGCTTTGGAAATGTTTTCACAAAAATACAAAATTTTCCATAGTAAAAAAGTTACAGCGATTTATTAAAAATGCACATTTTTAAAAAATATACCGTAACTCCGAAACGGTAACAGATATCGATGTGCGGTTTTGCACCATCATGTTTTTGAAAAAAAATGAGCTCCAGACACCGATATTAGTGTTCGTTTATCTTCTATAGAAAAGGATGTTTCCTTTTAAAAGCGTCCAATTTGGCCCACCCGGTACACTGTACAACTAAATAACTTTTAACGGGGAAACGTGACATCAAAAAAATTTATAGGGAAAACACCTCTTTTATATTTTTAACAAGCAGTCGCCTCCTGAATTTGTTTGTACTAGTAAAACTAGTAAAAAATAAAATAAAAAGTAAACACTGCTTGTTTAAAACATTTTTACACCCTAGTAAAGAACTATTTTATATGTTAACACTAACCAGAATATATTTATGTAGATACGCACCTGATACCAAGAAGTGTGACCATAATGCAGAACCGTTTACGTTCAAATTACTCTTGAAGCAAACCATGAGCTCTGAACAGACACATCCCACTAGAGTAACATCTTCAGTTGTTTCCTGGTTAATTATAATTTACTGTAAGTTTCCTTAAATTGATAGAATAATAAATAACAGGAAGTTTACATTGGGTATTGCTTTTTAGTTGCATTCTGTTTCTTGCTATCAGGATCGATGACTATGTTTGAAGACAATCTTTACCGAGGAGACATTTGGTTTATATCTTTGTGTGTAGTATTGGGATTTTTTCTATTTTTACTCCTGTTGTTTGTCTCTTACCAGCCTACATCAGATGTTAGGTTAGGTTTTACGGTAAGAATAAACAATAAATTATTTTAAAAAGTATTAGTATATTATCTATATTTACTTACAGGTTCCATTTGTACCATGGATTCCAGGAATAAGTATTCTTATAAATATATATTTGATGACAAATATTAACAAAGACACCTGGATCAAATATCTCTACTGGATTATTATTGGTAAGTGAAAAAATATTTATAATATGTAAGTTTATAAACATAATTATTTCGATTGAAGGTTTGGTTATATATTTCACTTACGGAGTATGGCACAGCAATGAAAGATCTCCACCGTTAAGGCCAACAAGAAATCCGGTTCAAAATAAAGAAAATGGTCAAACTAATAGCAGCATCAATTATTACGGTGCAACGACAGGTCAAAATACTGAAGAAACGGGGGAACTGTAACTTAACTATATTTATAGTTTACCATATAGTAAAAATTACCATTTGGTCACATTCGGTATCAACAATGATTTCCACAGATCATTCTCATTTTTTACTGCAAACAGGGTATTTTCATGTTTTTTAGAGCCAAAATTGTATTACCTCATGATTCGTTACACATAAAATGATCCTATAGCTTCATAATTATTTATTGAAAACTATACTTAAGTATTATTTATAATAATATATTGTTTAGCAATAAAAATATTTCTAAATTTTTGTTTTTTCATTTATTTGCTTTCAATTCAGAACAATTCCCGAATTATAAATATAAATGTATATAATATAGTAGATAAGGACAAAAATATTTTTTGTACTTTATAAAAAATAAAATTTGTTTCACCAAAACTTCTTTGTCTATTGACAGCTAAACAACTTATAACAAGCGTTTACTCTAGCTAAGAGCCGATAAAAGTTCAAACTTAGATCATTTTAACAGCTATACCGTATAAACGAAAAAACGGCGTCAAAATAGCTTGGAAATAACAATCGATTACCTCACCATATACAATGACAGCGATTTTCATTTCCAAAGCAACCCCGACGTTTTTTTTCGATCATATGGAATATTACAAATATTTAGATGTCTAATAGCTCGACTATAAACTTCTTATAATTAAAGATTGCTGCATATATTCGATTTTCATTTTCTGTCATATTCTCAATATATAGATGTGTCATTTCGATTATCTAATTGTAGAAAAATAAATGTAAAATATCTAATACCTGTCTGAGCAACGATTTCATCGAAAAATATATCGGATATATGCCGCCCAACTAAAACAAAATAGTTATAGCTATTTTAAACTATTAGTTTTCGTTCTGATTAAACGATTTGACCAGATCAAAACGATATAATTGAAACGTGTTATATTTTTATTAATAACATTATTTTATTTTATCATTTGTGTTTTATATGGTTAGCTGTCAATTTTCGTTGTAACGGTAACTATGGAATATTCAAATGAGTTGCAGAACAAAATTTCATTAATCTCATTTGAGCATGTTAACGTTGATTGAAGAAATAAGATGCACAACCTTATGGGCGATTTCGTGGCACAAAATATGTCCGAGATGTAGCTGGCGTTACTGTCAGACTGTCCGAGATTTAGTTTATATAAGCGCCGCTGCGCGCTGTCGTTTATAGCGCAGCGGATAAAGAAGAATACTGCACCGCAATTCTGCTTTCAGTTTCAGTCGACATAGTGAGTGGTTGCCAGAGACGGTGTTGCCAGAACTACGTCTATTAATCCGTAGATTTACGGATTTAGGCTACAGTCCGTTAATAATATCATTAACAATTAAGTATAATATTATAGATTAAACAAAGAACGGCGTCAAAGTTGGCTCGGAAATACTAATTTTAAACTGGTAAATGTTAATAATCGTTATTTTCAAGCCAACTAAACGACTTTTTTCGATCATACGAAATAGTCAGTACTTATAAAAGAATTTCTATTTTTGATGTTTATTCTATGTTTAACACGAATACATTTTCAATACATAAACACACATTTTTCATTCAAAGATATTTTTGTGAAATGTATTACAAATATTACACAATTTAATACGGCAACACTGTCGCTTTCAGTTCCACACCGTCTTCGATATTCCTTCGCTGGCCGAATTAAAGAAAATGAGTGTTTTATGCGTTGGCTGCAAAACGGGTAGTGGCCCTACCGTACAGCACTTGAGTAGAGTTGCCAACCGTCCCGTAAGGGGAAATGAAATCAGCTTTGTCATGAATTTGCCCATTATGTTGTGTATCTTTCCAATTCTTTCAATCAACGATGTTAAAATAAAACTAAAGAAATGGAAAAATATAAATGCCACTAACAAGAATAAATTGTACGTTATACAAGTTCTAAATCAGATGTAAAACCAATAAATAATAATACATCAAATACTGTATGTTATAAGAATGATTAATTACAGTGTATATCCATAAAAATATAGAAAATGCAGAAATAAAATAAAAAAGTAGCTTCAACTCTTACAGTAACAAATTTGAAATTTTTGGTAAAATATTTCCTTATAATTTATTGTATACATAAAATGACTATATCGTTTATAAAAACTGCATGAATGTGCAACAATGTGCAACAAATAAAAAGTATCACCTTACTCTATGATATTGATAGAAATATAATTTGTCTTATTATATAAAACCTTAAAGCTATAAATCACTAATATAAAATTGGCTAGTTACAACTAATACTTATATTCTCTTGTACAGAAATATATCTTTAATAAAAATAAACAGTATATGTACGCCTTCATTCAAACTATATTATTTTATAGTAGTTTCAATCAATCCTTTCATAATCTCTAATATAACCTCTTAAGCTATTAGGAAGTCCATAAAAACCATAAACTGAAAAACCTAAAAAAATCTTTATTAAATGTCGGACGAAATTATTCAATATCAAAATGTTTCAAATTAAAAAGAAACGTATGTATTATTCAGATATTATCCGAAAAATATCTAGAAAAGATTTATAGGCTTGGTGCATTTCAACCGATTTTTAAAATTCCGACAGTTGCGCTCGGTACGGCAGAAATCAGAACTGTTCCACTAAGTTTATTTCACGCCGCCGCCGTCCCGGTTGCATATTTGTAACCGACGTCCATGATCGCGATTCAGTTCTAGGCTGAACGATACCGCGTATAGCATCCGTGATTCCAAATTTTAACTCCTCTTATCCAAACCAAATCAAACAGCAGACGACATCGCTAAATTTGTTGATTGGTTCCTCGTAATCAAGATCGCAAAATTCGCAAGTGCAAGATGTCTACCAAAGAATATAGTTCTAAATAATATTTTGCAAAAAAAAATAATTTGCCCCCAAACCACGAGTATATAAGTTGATAGATAAAGAAATTTTTAGAACACGTTTTGTTAAAATTGCAGAAATTGAGGAAAGTTACAAAAATTAACAAGAGTAAAATTGAAGAGTGGAAATACCAAAGGGTTACCCCCTTTGATGTGCCAAAATTATTTTTTAACTAACCTAACCAAGTGAAACTAATCAATTTTTAAAATATCTTTTAAAATACAAATATAATATACAATCGACGCTTGCGCTTGGCACTTGCAACTTTTGTTAGGACATGCAGCATAGTATTTATTACGTTTCTAATTTAGTAACTTAATATTGAAAAATTTTGCACTTACCCCCTTTGGTATTTCCACTTTTCAATTACTCAAAACAAATTAACTTAAAAAAAACAGATTATAAATCAAAACCAAAAAATGGCTGAAATGAATAAAGTTACAGAATGTTTTACATTTCCAGGACATTTTACCAGCTTTACTTCGAAAATTTAAAATAAAAAACTATACCTACTTTGTGTAGTTTCTTTGCAGGTAAAATTTGACTTTTTCTAGTACAAGAAGATCAAGAAGATTGTAACTGAGTTTTTTCTTGAATATTTTTTATAGTTAAGGGCACATTTTTTAAGAAAAATTAGGTATTAGAAATGTATATTGAGTTCCAGTGATTATTCCAGCTAAAAAAACTTTTTAGACAAGTTCAACTATGGTAGCGAGTATAGTTTTAATCACCGGTTTTGCTAGTGGGGTCATAATTGGGACTATTTCGGCTATAACGAATTTTTTTAAAGGTACATAATTATAATTTTAGAACTTGTTTAGAACTTGAACTTTGTTTTCACTTGTTTCGTCGAACTGCTTGAATCAATTTTTGCTATTGATCAAATCGGTGTGAGAATATGAAGCTATAAAATGTTGTTTCGGAAGAGTTGAATATCCGGGAAAGTTTAATTATTGAATGTTATTGTACCCAACAACAAAGAAAACAAGGTATGATCGATAGCGGCTCCGGTTAAGTTTGCGCATACCACCTGTGACGTCATACGCTATACAAAAAAATATTCATATTGTCCAATTGCCACTAATAAAAAAAGGCCTAAAATAGGGAAGAATTAGGACATAACCCCAAAAGTTATGTCAAATCATCGAACTTGACATTTAAAAAATTATTTTCACATTTATTATGTCATCTGTTTGACAATTTGAAATTGGCGCGCGGAGTTTGCCGACCAATGGTGCCGTTTATCACCTGTGACGTAGTGACCAACCTGCGCAATATCATACCTTGTATTCTTTGTATCATGCACCAAGCCTATAGGCATGCGTAATTAAAATTCATAATACGATTTATCGTACATTCCCGTCTTGTTTTTAATAACCAAAAAAGTCTAACAAGTTACTTTACTTACATTACTTATTTTACTGTTTAATTAATTTAAAATACGGGTTATAATAAAAATTACTACGTGTTAAGGTAAAGCTTGAAATCAGTTGATTGAAATAGAATTATTAGTACAAAAAAAAATATAACTGCGAACCCTTAAATCTACTAATGAATAGCTTTTGGTTAAATTTTTGTTTGGAGATTTATTGAACTACTTAGCACTGTTAAAAGATCTAGAATCTAGATCATATATACATATTATGATATTATTATATAACGTATCGAGGATTAAATATCCTAGCTATTATAAATAAAAAAAATTCAAGTTGAAATTTATAATACAAGGTGGTCCGAACTGTATTCCGGAAACTTCGGCAGCATATTCTGCAGATAAAAATAAGTAAAAAAATGCTTAGTTTTATAGTGTAGAAGTTTCATTTTTATTTCGATTTTTTCCAAATAATTTCTGAAGTAACGTCAATATTTGGATGAAAATTGGTGTCTGGCAGTTTTTTAACATGAGAAATTTGATTTTGATGTCGATATGACTCCTACTAGTAGAGGGCGCCACCTACATATTTTTTAACTGGTTTGGTTTGGTTTGAAGAGTAATAACTTTTCGTCCGTAGCTGTATAAAACTACTGAGTAAAGAAATATACATTTACGACGCTTTTTACGTAAAAAAGGTCTCTTGGTAAAAATCGCTACGAGTAATTGTTTTCCAGATATTTGGAATCGAAATTATCAATACCTGTCATCATTGACATAAATTAAACATGTTGACTAAATAGTTATTAGACTGAGATCATAAATTTGAAATGTTTTTGTACCAAAAGTTCAACAAAAACTGTTTTATCATTTTTTTTGCAGAAAAAATATGATTAATTTAAAAAAAAATAATTATTTCAGTGAAATAACTATCTACTCAACGTGTTTATTTTTCGTTAATAATGGTATGTATTGACTAATTCCATTCTAAATATCTTGAGAATGGTTGCTCGTAGCGATTTTTAAAAAGAGATATTTTTTACGTAAAAAATCACAGAGATGTATATTTTTTCCCTCGGTAGTTTTATACAGGTAAGGACAAAAAGTTATTACGGTTCAAAACAGTTAAAACATATGTAGGTCGTAACTCTACAAGTATGAGTCATATTGACATCATAATCAAATTTCTCATGTCAAAAAACTCCCAGACACCAATTTTCATCTAAATATTAACGTTACTTCAGAAATTATTTGGAAAAAATCGAAATAAAAATGAAATTTCTACACCCTGTATCTCCGAAACTAAGCATTTTAGGACATACATTTATACGAACTTTTTTACCTATTTTTATCTGCAGAATATGCTGCCGAAGTTTCCGGAATAGAATTCGGACCACCCTATATACTCATGCAGAAATCAGTATGCAGAATTTAAATAATAATTTTATTAGTTCCCCCAATTATTTATCATTAAAATTAATACTAGAAAAAAACAGTTACAATCAAAGAATGTATTTTTGTAATTTAATTGTAAAATTTCATGATAAAATTATTTCTGGGCTAGACTAAGTTTTGTGATATAATAAAAATAAAATTTTATGTTGAAAGGATATCTCAATAACGATGTAAAAATAGTAAAAATTGATAAGATGCAGAATAACTCTAACTTTTTTTAAGAGCAAAGTCAACAACAAAGACTTTGTTTAAAACTTTGGACCTCCAATTGTATACTTTCTAATACAGGGTGAGTCTTAAATAAGTGCAAATATTTTCAGGGCTTGTAGATCTCGATAAAAGAAACATATTCTCTCTTTACCGTTTTTCAAATAAGTCCGAAATAACTGAGTTATTTTACTTTAAAAATTTGCAAAAAAAAATATTTTTGCTTAAATTTCGAGAACAACTGGATCTTCTACTTGTTGCTACTGAATCTACTTGTTGCCATATTATTAAATCATGTTTTTCGACTAAAAAAATTCCAAATTTTCATAAAAAAAATTCGCGAAAGAAACCTCATAATCGTGTTTCTGGGGTCGAAAAATACTTGCACTTATTTAAGACTCACCCTGTATAGTTAGTGAGAACAAAAATAAATCTACAGATTCAAGGTATCAATTTTGACTAATACCACAATGGTGAAGCCTTAAAATTCTTAGAGTGTTTGTTTATACAGAAACTATAATAATAAAGCAACCGCACCCTCGAGCACATAAAAAGCATTAATTATTGAGTATTATGTACATAAACATTTATAACGATTAGAATGACAAATGGAGTACAAATAAGGGTTTGGAATATATAAGGGTTAAAAATGATTTAGTTAGGTTACAGTTTCCATTTAGTGAATTTTGAGTATCGTATTGGTGAATATGTAATGAGATTCCATTATCATTTATCACGTCCTCATCAGTGTCAAATCTCATCACATTAAAATCCTTTTGTGTGTTCTAATCTTCAGTTTTTAAGGCGTGAATGCTTTTGAAAATGTCCCCCATCTTCTGTCTATGAGCTCCATGATGATCCTCTTTAATAAAACTACTACCAAGTGATTTTGACAATCTACGAGTCTGAACCTCATTATTTGAATTTTTAAGTTTCATACTACTAAAAACTTTTTTCATTTTATTTTGGTGTTCCATAAATCCAGAATCATCTGCGTCTTTTAATTCGGATTCGTCTTTGTGATTTAATCCAGATTCATCTCTATTTTTTAATCCGGTATCAGGATCTTCTTCTGATTTTTTAATAAAACTATTATCCACATTTTCAGATGACCCATTTTTGATATCATTATATTTAGTACTTTCATTCATAAAGTTTCTTGCACTGTCATTTTTCAAAAACTCTTGAAGTTTTACTTTAGCTCCTTCACGATCTATTTGCTCTTCGATAACATCTTCATTATGTTTAAATTTAACTTCTTTCGGTACTGTAACTACGTGTGTTTGAATTACTGGAAAAAATGCAACTCTTGGACGAACTTTTAGTTTGTTATTAAGATTTTCGGAGAAAAACTTGTACTGATCTGAGCCTGCTTTCAAATTACTGTCAGATGCATTTTGATTTAATGTGGGTATAATATTTTTAATAACGCTTTTAACGTGACGCAACGTCACACTTTTAAGGGCCTCTTCCGTTGGAGTAATCGGAGTGGTTTGTGTTTCTACCTTAAAATTTGATGCGTTATCTGGTTTTTGGCTGGGAACAGCAGGGGGATGGTTTGAGGTATTGTCGATAAATTGAGTAGCTAAAGAGCTATTTATATTATTATCATTGTCAATATCAGGTGGATTTTTATGTAAAGGCTTTTTAGTAATTAATTCATTTGATTTACTACTTTCGTAGTCGTTCGGTTTATTTCCTATATCAATATAATTCTGGTTACCACCAGTTTCAATATTTTTATCCACTGTAATTTTAAGAAATTCTTCATTTAATATACTACTTTCTTTATCGGTTTTAGTAATATTCTGATCAAGTATATCAAAATTATTTTCATCACTTCCTTCTAATATTTTATCTTCAATTTTCGTCACATCCTGGACATGTCCTTGAAAAGTATCATGACGGATTTCATTCATTGATATTTTAGATATTCCCTCATTTGATTTATTAATTTCTTCATTATTTTTGTCTTGATTACCAGATTTTTTATCTCTATCATCTTCATTAAACTTACTAAACGTACTTTCATTTGGATTTTGCATTTGAGCAATTTTATTTGAGGTTGCATCATTATTTAAAGCAACTGGTAAATTTTCATCACCGTGTTCTAACTCAATACTGTACTCTTGTAAAGGCGTGAAGTTTTGATGCTCATTTTTATCGTTAGCTTTAGTTAAAGGTAGGACTTCTTCACAAACTTCAACTATTTCCGAATCACATTTTTCTATAGTAGGGATATCATGAACACTTGGAGATTTCAAATTAGGAATAGGAGCAAGGTCGGCATGATGCACATCAGCAATGACATTTTCACGATTGGACACAACAACAGACAAATTAGACACAGATCCCGCGGACAATTTTCTACTGCTAATTCTACTTGTCTCGTCGCTCAAACCATCTTCCTCCCATTCGCTAAGAGTGACCTTCTCTAGGACTTGATCGAGCTGGGCTATGACAGTGTCCGGTTGCACATCGACGCTTTGCACTCGTTTAAGATCGGGCGGTGTAGGCGCCATCTTTTTTTTCTTCGTCGGACTTTTGATCGTTGAACTGTCGCCTTGCTCGATTTCGAATGAAGGATTGGAAAAGCCGTTCAGTGACGTAGGCTGACCATTAGTGATGTTGGCGGAAAAGTATGTGCCTTTTGTATGAGTAGTATGCGGTTCGTTCGAACAAGCGCAAAGTAAATACATCGGAGTACCTAAGTGGTTTAGTGAAAAATATTTACATGTGCTTTTATCGCCAACAACCAAAATTAAGATAGTGAAAGCAGAAAGTTAATGAAAAATCGCAAAAAACTCTTATCTAAATAAAAAATGTACATACCTATCGCCATCCAGACGGCAAAACGTATCCATGTCATAGAATCTAACATCAGCATTAAGTAAATATTTACCAATATGCTTAATGCAGGTATAAGAGGAACCAGAGGAACCTAAATATCAACATATAACGGTAAAATCAATAAATATGTCAAATAACCGAATAATTTTGTAGTTCATCATCTAAATTATATTTTAATATTTTCTTTGAAATTATAGGAACTTCAACAGTGATTTCCATTATTAGTAAGGATGATTTATAATAACATAACAAAGGGTAATAAAAGGTAGGATTTAAAAAGATCTAACGTATGATCGAATAAAAATGGCGTCAGCGATGGTTATGAAATGAAGATCGTGTCATTTTATATGTAAATTTATATGGGAAATGTCATCGATCGTCATTTCCCAGCCAATTGGGCGCCGTTTTTCATCATACGGTATTTTCCTCCCCCTTTCTCTCTCTTATTAATATCAGTCAATTGGCTCACCCCTAATCCTAAATTATACTTGTTTCAAAACATTCTTACCTTAAATGATAATTCCTTCTTAGAAGTTGGTTGGGTTGAAATAGATATAATTAATAATACAGTTATACCAACAACAACAGAGGAAATTGCTATCGCCCATATTTCTCCTTTGATTATTGGCGATTTCAAATATATAACACATAATCCTATGCATACACAGAGAATACCTAAAATAGTTTATAATAACACCCAACAGAAAAAACTGCCCATCGCGTGTTGTTTATATCAATATCTAAAGATTAAGAATTTTAGCGCACTAATCTTTTGAGCTCACTTGATGTTTATGTTCATTTTTGTAGATTGAAATCTAAATTTATATTTTATGTTTCTTTGTTTTTTTTTGTTCTAAGTAGGTTTAATATAGTAGACTTAATAGTTGCAAGTATAAGTGAATTACTAAAACCTTTAATAGGTATAGGATATTTGAATATAGAATATTTGAGCACTAGATGGACAGTTAAGTTATTTTCAGTATAATCACTATTAATTTTTATTATACTTACAATATAAAAATACTTCCACGGCTACAATATTCTCTGTAATTTTGCTTGGTTCCTTACTCTTATAATTAAAAATGTAGAAGAGTGAATTACAACAGCCTGCTTGTTCATTATTAATAAGTTCAGTTTCGTCACTGGTGCTTGGCCCGTCAAAATTTTGTCTTATAACGTCGTCATCATATCTATTACATAAAAAATAATACTAAAATAGATTATACTAGACAGATGATTATTAAAGATTAAGTTTATTAAATTGTTTACACCTAGATTAATGTAACATAACCATGTTCTCGTATTCCACATAAGCAAGCAAACAGTAACTTCGATGGGCGCGTTCAGGGAACACAGCAGCTGACATTCAGCGTAAATTTGCGCTGACCAGTTATTTATGACTTTACACGGTATTCCCTAAACAGCAAAAAGGAGTTAAGAACAAGAAACAGCAAATTTCTCATGCACCCTCTGGATTTCTGTCTACTATAAAAATTTGACAGAAATATAAATAAATCATCATCGTCAAATCGGTCTTTAGCCTTTAGAATAAAAATTATTTTGAAAAAAGAATTATTGCAATGGTTGATCATTTTATAATGGAAAAATTATTATTTGACAATACAGTATTAAAGATAAAAATTAAATTTCTAAAAAAATAACAGTTTAATAATTTTACTTATACACTTAAACATAACAACTTAAAATAACAGGAACTGGCAGTAAGAAAGATACTATATGACCGATCAAGATACCTTTCACCCATTTTTTTCTCGACGGTATGGTACAAAAAAAATTATTAAAGATGTAAATACCATACAATCGAAAAAAATACGACGTTAGAGGTGACGTGGAGATGAAGATTGCTGTTATTTTGTAATTAAACTTTATATAATCATAGCAATCTTATATACGGAATGTTATCGATCGTCATTTCTAAACCAACTAGGCGCAATTTTTTTTCGATCACGCGGTATAATTACAATCAAAAATTATTTTTTTTCAAAAGTAGTATTTTTCTTTAATTTCATTGTGTTTTTCCATCTCAACTTGAATTTTCTTTATTTCTTCTAGTGATGGGAAAAACCGATTAATTTCAATAATCGAGTACTCGAGTATCAAGCGATTGCAATAACCGAGTGATCACTCGAGCGAAATATCGCTCGTATTTAAAAATACGGTTATTTGTCTGTCGCATGTTGTAAGTACTCGTTAACGCCAAGCAGTAAGCTGCGTGCGCAGGGCACATATTCTTTCGGTAATGAACGGCAAGTAGTAAGCGGCGAGCGATTCGCTTGATCGCCTGATTTAGTTTATTTCGAAGCATTATCGATGTAGGTCGTAAAATTTTGTCTCTCAGATACGCAACGGATAAATATACCGGGTGCGTCTGAAAAGTGGATCACCCCTATAACTTTTTAATTTTTTCAGATAAAACAACGAGATTTGGTATGTTAGTATATGACATAAATTAGGATTGATTGACATATTCAATTGTTTTCGGTCACTTCCGGTTTCACCGGAAATGACAGCAATTTTTGATTTTTAAATCGCACCCTCGGTATTTTTTTACTTTATTCGGTAGAAAATGACACTCTGAATAGAATGACCTATCACATGTCAACTTTTGACATTTTCGCATATGGTTTATTTGAAATTGTAACATGCAGTTCATAACGACAATTTGACTCGAAGTACCAAGTGTGTGGTATCAAATTATTCCTAAAAAAATCTTTTTCGAAATATGCTAACGATTCACCCTCGTTCCATTTGAAAAAAATTGAGATATGATCAAAAATACGATTTGGGCATCTTTTAACCGGCCAGGGCAAGACACTAAAAACATTCGACGATCAAATCTATTTTTTTCAATAAAAATTAGTGTTTTTAACACAGCCATGGCACTCTAGATTGAAATTTAAAATACAATTTGTTTTTAAGCAAATATGTCAAAAGTTGACATATGATATGTCATTCTATTTAGAATATCATTTTCTATCGAATAAAGTAAAAAAAATACCGAGGGTGCCATTTAAAAATCAAAAAGTGTAGTCATTTCCGGTGAAACAGGAAGTGACAAAAAACAATTGAATACGTCAATCAATCCTATTTTATGTCATATACTAACATACCAAATCTCATTTTTTTATCTAAGAAAATAAAAAAGTAATAGGGGTGAGCCACTTTTGAGTTCGAGACGCACCCGGTATATACGGCGTCGTATAAATTTGCTACCTGCAATGCATGTAGAAAATTCGCTCGGCTTTTTATCGAGTAGGTCACATTAAAATCGGATTTCAATTTATTTCATTCTAGGATCGCTTGCGTTCGTCGCTTGGTACGCGTCACTTGCATCGCTGGTTAATAATCGAGCGATATTATTTCAATAATCGAGTACTCGAGCGAATTTTCGCTAGAGTTATCCCATCACTAATTTCTTCAACTTTTTCGATCTCTATTTCCAACTGTCTTTTTCGAACGTTTTGGAATAACCTGCTGCTTTGTAACTTTTTTGACAACAAATATCTCCTATTTGTTAAGGATTCAATTAACTACGATTGACTTCAAATTTCAAAAAACCATAAAAAATAAACAATAAACCGAGAAAATTGAAGTTATTTTAGATTAGTTGACCACAGATAAGGAAATAGATCAAGGCTGACTTGTCTCAGCTTAAATATTTAACGCTGAGAATTTTGCACAGCGGCTGACTGTTGCTGTTCGTCAGAATAGACCGTTTAGGGAAGTCATTTAAGGGAGTCGTTTAGGTCGTTTAGCTCAGCCGCTCACCGTTTATGACAATAACTACTTACTTTTCAACGTCACTACTCTCGCTATTAGTACTCTCCGTATCTGACGATACTCTAACGGCGGTGTATACCTTTTTAACGTCTTCTTTATATCTATGGATGAAGAGGTTAAAGTTACAGTGAGAAACAAACACAAACGCTAAAACAACAAGCTACAACATTAAAATTTTTTTAAATTATAAAAAAAAATATTTTTATGACGGACTAGATCAACATTCAACAAATTTTTCTTATGAATGTCACAAATTATTACAGTTAGTTATATTTCTTAAGTTCACATTTCAAGGTTATAAGAAAATTAAGTAACACATGAAGTTAGTACAAATCAACAGAAAACAATGTAGTCAAAAAAATACATCATAAGCAAAATAGTGATTGCTATTTTGACTAAACCTACCTTAAAAGCAATACACTAGCAGCAACTATAGTATATGCTAGCAATGTCCCAATTGACATCATATTTACTAATTGGTTAAGGTTAAAGAGCGCAGACATTAGTCCTAAAAATGTTTCCATAAAAAGTCTAGTATGAATTAACGATCCCTTAGAGAAAAGAGATCAAAATATGGTAATCGCAAAACAATTTCGAGATGCACGTGATCAACTTTGAGTGACAAGCGATGGCGACAGCGCTGCCAGATTATAATGGATTTATGAGATGAATCTTAATTTAAAATTTACAAACAACATATTTATTATATCACTTTTTAAAGAGTTTTACGTTTTATTTTTAATGTAATAACTAATATTTCAGTGATTAATGGAATTATTTGTTTTACAGCTTATTTTACTTATTACATATTGGCAAAAACTAGTCCATTATGAAGATTATTATGTACTATACTATGTATATGTAGTTGTACATCTTACAATGCATACACATACAAATTATACAACAAATTTAAACACTTTTGCCAAAATTTCATTTAGTCAGGTTTATAGACTTTAATGTAAATATCGATATGATTGATGACGTGCATCCGAAAATGTTTTACAACTACTCTATATGAGTAAAAAATCCAAATTGTTAAAAGGTTTTTAATTAACTAGCTTATTATTCAGTAGTTAGTGCTGTATTGTTACCTGTCAATATTCCCGCAAATATTGTCCCTATTACTGGAGTTTGAAACTTTGGATGCACCTTTGCCAAAAATTTAAACACCAGTCCATCACTGCCCATAGCATAAATTACTCGCGGTAAAGGAAACATGGCTCCAAAAAGACTGTAATAATAAAAATAAGTAACTGCACGTACAAATTCAAAATAGTTAAAATGAATGTCATGTGACGAAATAAACCAAAAAGCGTACTGTAAAACTTATGATTTTTGTCATAAATATCTAAGCTATTTAAAGTAAAAAATAAGAAAAGGTGAAATTTTGACAGACAGTACCCCAAAAATGAGAGGAAATACAATCCACTGTCACTATTCTTCCATTGGACGGACTAGGTCCATAAGAGCATTAAGTTTCCACAACTTCCCTTGCCATTTGTACAATATTATTTAATGTAATAACGATAATACTAAATATATAAGTAGTTTGCGCCTGCTTTATACAGGGTGGCTGAAATAGAACTACTGCGTATTTTTAGAATCAAAATAAGTTCATCGGACACAATTTACCTCTATTCAAAAGTGCTTCGTTTGTCCGTTAAAGGGCATCAAACTTAAAAAAACGCCGAGTAACTTCCAAACGACCAAATAAATATCCTTAATTGAGGGAATAAAAAGCATGTATTGTCACAATCTTATATTGGCTATACCGGGTGCGTCTCAAAAGTGGCTCACCCCTGTAACTTTTTTATTTTTTCAGATAAAAAACGAGATTTGGTATGTTAGTATATGACATAAATTAGGATTGACTAACGTATTCAATTGATTTTGGTCACTTCCTGTTTCACCGGAAATGACTACTTACTTTGACGACTTTACTTGATTTTTAAATGGCATCCTCGGTATTTTTTTTTACTTTATTCGATAGAAAATGACATTCTGACTAGAATGACATATCATATGTCAACTTTTGACATTCTCGCTTAATAAAAAATCGTATTTTAAAATTCAATCGAGAGTGTCATGGCTATGTTAAAAACACTAATTCTTAATCAAGGAGCCTTGGAAAAATAGATTTGATCTTGTAATATTTTTAGTGTTTTGTCCTGGCCAGTTAGAAAATGCTCAAATCGTATTTTTAATCATATCTCATTTTTTTCAAATGAACGGGTGGTTCATTAGCATATTTGGAAAAAGCATTTTTTTATGAATAATTTGTTACCACACGCTTGGTATTCCGAGTCAAATTTTCGTTACAAACCGCAAGTTATAATTTAAAATAAACCATATGCGAAAGTTGACATATGATATGTCATTCTCTTGTGTTATTGAGTGCTATTTTCTATCGAATAAAGTAAAAAAATACCGAGGGTGCTAATTAAAAATCAAAAGTTGGAGTCATTTCCGGTGAAACAGGAAGTGACCAAAAACAATTGAATACGTCAATCAATCCTAATTTATGTCATATACTAACATACCAAATCTCGTTTTTTTAATTGAAAAAATAAAAAAGTTATAGGGGTGAGCCACTTTTGAGACGCACCCGGTATAAATGAAACGACCATGTTCCATATAACCAACTTTTTTATGTTATTTTATTTTATTCTTCTTTTATTTTATTTTGTTATACAAACCCACCATAAGACAATTAAAAATAAATTGAATAAGATTTATGAATAGGTTTAATTTTGAAAGATATCAAAAAAATAATAATTTCCATTCCAACAATCGAAAAGTCCTAAAAAAAACCTAACCTACATCTAACTTAACTTTCAATTTATTTCTAATTTCATAGTTTTATTCCATGGAATTCATCATTCATCAGATGTAATTTGACAATTGCAGTAGAAGATATTAAATATTAATACCTTGCACATAAACCGCATAGCGCTCCAATAGCTACAACCCATTTTGCCCAATCCCAACCAACCATTTCAAAAGCTCTTGGAATAGGCGCATCATGATCCTGAAACAATCAGTTATTATCAATAAATCGTTAAAACCCTATACTTCTTTTGTGTCTTTGACTAATAACTGATTTGTATATAAAATAAATATTTCAGTTGTTTTTCCATATACTATTTCAAACGAAAACCCATTTTAAAAATGTTTATAACATAAATCAATATAGTACTGGAAAGAGAGAAAAAAAAAAGAAAATCTAGGAACTAGGGGGGTTGCAGTCGGAAGGGTTTGACATAGAATTAATACACTTTGTTAATTGTCAAGCTTTCGGAATTTATTCATTCCTTCCTCAGGACATTAACGTGGCACAAGAGACCTTCATAAAAAAACTACATTAAAAAATTGGCTTCTATTGAAAACTCCACCGTGAAGCATCGCCGACCAGTCAACCACAAAAAGAGAGGGCTCGCGATTTTTATTTCATTTTTGGGTTCAGGACCCAATAAAAGTAAAACTGCTATAATTTTAAATAAAGTCCATAAACTAATTTCGATTTTGAAAATAGCTACTAACTAACGATACAAAGAAAACAAGGTATGATTGATAGCGGCTCCAATTTCGTTCAGTTTGCGCCTTTGGTTTGCGCATATCAGCTGTGACGTCATACGCCATACAAAAAATATCCATATTGTTCAATTGCCAATAATAAAAAAGACCTAAAATGGGAAGAATTAGGACATAACCTCAAAAGTTATGTCAAATCATTGAGCTCGACATCTGAAAAGTAATTTTCACATTTATTGTGTCATCAGATTGATGATTTAAAATTGGCGCGCGGAGCTTGCAGACCAATGGTTCCGATATTACCTGTGACGTAGTGACTAAACCTGCGCAATATCATATCTTGTTTTCTTTGTATCATGCTACTGTCACTAGAAACTTGCCATGACGACACCAGCCCTCTTGGTTGACATTTTATTGAAAAATTGCTCCCTATTCAAAATCTGAACTAGATAGGTATAGGAAACCCTAATATAGTTTGAAAAAGCATTTGAATCTGCTTCTATTTGACTTAAAAATACAGCGCCTTTTTGACAAATGTTAGATGAGAATGGGCTCTTTCACTAATTACTATAAAACAAAAAAGCCCAGAATAAAAATCCGAACTTTATTTTTAATACGTCACACTTGGCATGTTGAAAAGCGGCAACACGGCCGCCGCCGAGCCACCATGCTGACCCACCACCACCTCCACACAAAATAGGCATTTTTCACACAAATGTCGGGTTAGATTACGTAATATTTCACTAATTTTTTAATATACAGGGAGTCTAAAGTTCTCCACATAAGTATGGTAGTATATTTGACAGAAAATAGCAATATAAACTAAATATTCAATTGCAAACACTTACCTACCATAGTTTAGAATTTACTGAACGTTTGATAAATATACTATTATGGACAGTATAGGAAGTTACTTGTCTTAGTAAAAAAGCCTTGGTAAATGCTCTTGGAATTATAAACTACACTGACTTGGTTGTTTTTTTGGTTGACTGGGGGTTCGTACGTAAAACTTACGCTTAGCTTAGTTTTCTTTACTCTTTCTCTTTACATAGGGCATTGCCTTTGTGGTAAAGACGTCATTCCTTTTTTTGCATAGTTCTTCAATAAAATATTGGATGTTCTAAACAAGATGACAATTGTGACCTAAAAAAAAGACTTACATCCAGGCCATTTATATTTTCAAATGTCAATGTTGTCAATATCTTTCTGTCATCTTTTTGATGTAAAAAGCTTGATTCTTCTTCCAATATTTTACTTATAGTGAGGTAAATATAAGCAGAAGCCATAACTACATCCTCACTAGGGTAACAGAGGCTTTGGCCTTTGGCCTTTTTGAGGCATATTTAATGCATTTCTTACCCGAGAACTACTAGTAGGAGTGAAATTATCTCTTTTAATAGCTGTCAACAATTTTTTATGAAGATCGTCATTTTTGGGGAATATAAAAGCAGAAACCTTGGGACCCCCTCTATAATTCCCGTGACAATTTGGAACAGAGCATGTAAAAGGCATGCTACAATAAAATGTTAATACCTACCCTTTAATACCTATCTTTTGATTATTGTAAGAGTAACCATTATAAAGTACTATGCAGACTGGCGACGAAGGCTTTTTACTCATTTAGGTGTAATATCTTGATAAATACTTCTAGTTCTTACCTTAAAATAATTAATAATAGAGGAGTACGACAAGCACAAAAGTTTGAAGTTCCCTATGTGGAATGTCTGGTTTGGATTTTTATTACACTGTTATTTTATCACAATTTTCTGATCACACCATGCACTGAACACTAAGAACTAAACAAACGTGTTGCAGAAGCACAACAAACTAGAGATAATTAATTATTTCTGGTATGCAATCGGAACGAGAAACCACTACCGGCTTTTCAGGTTAAAGGTAAACAATTTAATAATGCGCTGCCTTCGCCGCCATATTTGCCTTGCCCATATCATGTTAACTGGCCTTGAGTTGAGGTGGTGCTGGTCAAATCAAATCGCAATGTTGCCAGTTGTTGGCTGGCGCACGAGCACGGTTCTGCAATGTCATTGGGCGTGTTTTTCATACGTCATCAATTGGCACTTTAAAATTATTTCAAATTAAAACAATTTTGAAGGCCTATAAAAATATTATTCAATGTCATGGAACTATTTTTTTTTGGATAAATATACTGAAAATAGTCTTCTATTTCAGATTTTATCCTTGAATTGGGTATTTTATTTTTTGTGAAAGAGCCCATTGAGCGATAACACAGAAGACAAAAATAATTTAAATTTATCTTATGGACACTCCAGAATAAAAATAAGATAAAAATGCTTATGGCGGAAAAATGATTTTACGATTTTATCTGGGTAAGCAAGGTCTTTTTCCGTACATTATATGCACGCCACTGCTAGATACTGTAATTTTAAGGAAAATTCTAATGCTTGCCACTCTGTGCATCGAAAATTCTGTCATAACTAAAATGTAAATGGAATAAAATAAATTCGATCAAATTTACCTGTAAATAATATGGAACCATCAACGTTAAAACAGTAGCTGTTCCAAAATAAGCACAAAAAATTATAAACAGAGACACAATTATTGAAACAGGGATTGCTTTTCTAGGATTCATTACTTCCTCGCCAGTTGTTGCTATGCAATCAAATCCAACAAAACCGTAAAAACAAGTAGCAGCACCTAAAAATAATACAATACCTCTAGTATCAAACAAAAAAATCTGAGAATTTATAGTAAAAAAACATGTCTCACAAGGGAGTGATTTGACTGTTTCTTGTTTACCTTTGATCATGCCTTCAATTCCAAAAGGAAAGAACCCACCATTTCCAATATTTGCTGTTGTATTTGTAGAATTTGGAGATACATTCCAATTAGAAATGTCCGCTATAAAAAATGCTTCTAAAATATCTAATAATGTGAAAAATATTGAAAACATACCTTTTAAAGAACCAGCAACTATTATAAATAAAACAATGAATATATTTAACACTGTTACAATATTATTACCCATGCTGCTTTCCTTCATTCCAAATGCCAAAGCAACTAAAAATACATAAACTAATTTGATACAAATAAACTTAGAATAGAACATCACTCACCTGCCAAAAGTATTGACAGACCAAACGATAAAAAGTCAAAGTATTCTGACATATATTCCACATTAATTGGCGCAATATGTCTAAATGTATCCTGTATTGTACCGTTAACCAGTGTGTCTAGATAAAGACTAAGTCCTCGAGCAACACTAGCCGCGCCTTGAAGTAAAATAGTTTTATATTAATACCTCTAATAAATATAACTACATTAATGTACCGATTACGTATTCCAATATCAAGTTCCATCCTATAACAAATGCTATAGAACTCTCCAACACAAACATAGCTGTAGATATAGGCAGAGCCTGCCCTTGGTGCTCTAGCTCCAAACTCCGCATAGCACAATCCTAAAATAAAGTTTACTTATTTAAAATATTTAGAACTATTTGTAAAATTATTAAAGTATTTCAATATATTATAATTATTTTTTTTATAAAAAATATCAATAGGTACAGGGTGTCCCACTAAGAATAGCTCTCGGCTGTATCTCGGAAAGTATTAGCAGTAGGGGCTGCGGAAAAAAATATTTATAACTAAAGAGGCTATGAGAAATTGCTGGAAATTATTTTCAAGTTTGTAGAACGACCGCTAGGGGGCGCAACTGCAATAAAAAAATAAGAAAATGGAGTTTTTACCCCATTTTGCCTAGATAAGGTGTACTATAAGTAATAGCTTCATAATCTTCAGTAAATTTTGAATATTTTTTGTTAGAGCCATTTTCCCCTATCTACCAAAATAAAGTGGTGGGGGAAGGTTAGATCTGTTTTTATTTAAATATTAATAACTCTGAACTGGATGATCAGAATCTAACAAGCGAGGGCTCGTTTAAAAGAGCGTAAGCATATTTATTTTAAATAATAAGCTTTTGAACGTAGACGCTAGGAGGCGTTGTCTTACAATTTAACAAACATTGCGCGTTTTTTCAAAAAAATTAAATGCAATAGCATATGTAATTTTAACTGATAGTAAAGAGTAGTAAAAGTTTAAAAAGTCAGCGAAAACCGCATCTTGATATCTTCTTTCAAACCGAAGATATTAGCAAAAATATAAAAAATACCAAAAAAATAAGCACTTAATTACCTTATTTTTACAACACGGTATCAGTAGCCCTCTTGATTATGCCCATTCCAACAAAAAAATAAGATAGAAACGGTTAGTTTATTTTAAAATTGACGAAATACCAAAATACCATAATACCAGAGGTATTAATATCTAATAATTAAGATATTAATAACAGTGAACAAGAAACGATGATTCAGTGAAGTCATGGTCGGCTTTGGAAAAAAGTTGCTTTTGACGTAATAGTATAAACGTCAAATTGTTATTAGATCAACATTTTGATAGTCTTAGCAGCGTTTTTTATCTTTTGATTGCTTTTTCAAAATGCCAACAACTTCAACTACTTCAAATAATGAAGGTATTTTGAAAAAAGAAATTAAAAGATAAAAAACGCGGCTAAGACTATCATAATGTTGATCTAATAACAGTTTGACGTTTATACCATGATACAAAGAATACAAGGTATGATATTGCGCAGGTTGGTCACTACGTCACAGGTGATAACAGGCACCATTGGTCGGCAAGCTCCGCGCGCCAATTTTAAATTGTCAAACAGATGACACAATAAATGTGAAAATAACTTTTCAAATGTCAAGCTCGATGATTTGCCGTGATGATTTGACATAACTTTTGGGGTTATGTCCTAATTCTTCCTTAATTTAGGTCTTCTTTTTATTAATGGCAATTGAACAATACGGATATTTTTTTGTATGGCATATGATGTCACAGGTGGTATGCGCAAACTTAACGAAATTGGAGCCGCTATCGATCATACCTTGTTTTCTTTGTACCATGCGTTTATACTATTACGCGAAAAGCAACAGTTTGACGTTTATACTATTACGTGAAAAGCAACTCTTTTCCAAAGCCTACCATGACTTCACCGAATCATCGTTTCTCTTGTTCACTGTTATTAATATCTTAGTTATTACATATTAATACATCTGGTATTATGGTATTCTGGTATTTCTTCGATTTTAAAAAAAAACTAACTGTTTCTATCTTATTTATTGTTAGAATGGACATAATCAAGAGGGCTACTGATACCCTATTGTAAAAATAAGGTAATTAAGGGCTTATTTTTTGGAATTTATTATAGTTTTGCTAATATCTTCGGTTTGAAAGAAGATATCAAGATGCGGTTTTCGCTGACTTTTTAAGCTTTTACTACTCTTTAGTATCAGCTAAAATTATATACATATACTTTCGTATTTAATTTTTTTGAAAAAACGCGCTGTTTGTTAAATTGTAAGAAAGCGCCCCCTAGCGCCTATTATTATTTTTATGGTATAATATAGAGTAAGAAACGCTCTTTTAAACGAGCCCTCGTTTGTTATATTCTGATAATGCAGTCCGGAGTTATTAACATTTATATAAAGATAGATCTAACGTTCCCCCACCACTTTATTTTAGCAGATAGGGGAAAATGGTTCTAACAAAGAAAATCCAAAATTTACTGAAGATTATGAAGCTATTATTTATAGTATCCATTATCTAGGCAAAATTCTATAAAAATTCTATTTTCTTATTTTCCATAGCAGTTGCGCCCCCTAGCGGCCATTTTACAAACTTGAAAATAATTTCCAGCAACTTTTCATAGCCATTCATAATATTTTTTCCGTAAGCCCTACGTCTAATGCTTTCCGAGATACAGCCGAGAGCTATTCTTAGTGGGACACCCCGTACATTCTCCATCTTACAAAATATTGAATCTTAAATTAAATGTGCTAATTAAAATTATATTATAAGTAAATAAGTATTTATTGCCAGCTAACAAAATTATGTTTTTTTGTGTTTTAGATAAATAGTATTTTTGTATTATAGTATTATTAATAGTATTAGTATACCTGGTGCGTCTCAAAAGAGGCTCACCCCTATAACTTTTTTATTTCTTCAGAAAAAAAAACGAAATTTGGTACATTAGAATATAACATAAGTTAGGATTGATTGACGTATTCAATTGTTTTTGGTCACTTCCTGTTTTACCAGAAATGACTACAACTTTTGATTTTTCAATGACACCCCAGGTATGTTTTTACATTATTCAATAGAAAATGACACTCTGAATAGAATGACATATCATATGTCAACTTTTGACATTTTTGCATACAGTTTATTTGAAATTGTAACATGCGGTTCATAATGACAATTTGACTCGAAATACCAAGTGTGTGGTACCAAATTATTCGTAAAAAAATGCTTTTTCCAAATGTACTAATGAGCAACCTTTGTTCCATTTAAAAAAATTGAGATATGATTAAAAATACGATTTGGGTATCTTATACTTGGGTATCTTATAGAATGATATATGATATGTCATTCTATTCAGAGTGTCATTTTCTATCGAATAAAGTAAAAATATACCGGGGGTGCCATTTAAAAATCAAAAGTTGTAGTCATTTCCGTTGAAACAGGAAGTGACCAAACACAATTGAATACGTCAATCGATTATAATTTATGTCATATACTAACATTCCAAATCTCGGTTTTTTTGTCTAAGAAAATAAAAAAATTATAGGGGTGAGCCACTTTTGAGACCGCACCCGGTATAGTATATTTTAATAAATAGTGGTACCTACTACACAAAGATGCAGCAACAGGGGCGGATACAGAAATTTATTTTAGGGGTGCCCAAAATATAAAAGTAATGTAGAATATGCTTTTTAGGGCGCCATTTTTAACCCAAAAGCCTAATATTTAACACAATTTATAGGTTTTAGGGGGGGCCCGGGCTCCATGGGTCCCCCTCTGTATCCGCCACTGTGCAGCAAGTCATCAAAATGAAATATTTATATTGAAAGTTATTGTAGCACAATTGTAGTACCTTTTTTAAAAAGAAAAAAATGAAATGACAGACTACCATGCATTACATATTGTTTCTTTTAAACATCAACAGTATTTTCGGGTAGATAGATAAAAGCCAAAAATATAATACAAGAACATTAGGTACCTATTCATTACAGGACCTACTTAAATTATTTTAATATGTAATTTTAAGGTAGATTATATGCATTTAATTTAATTTTAAATATAAATTATTTAGTTATTTTATTTTTTTATTTAAAAACGCTCTATACCGGGTGCATCTCAAAAGTGGATCACTCCTATAACTTTTTTATTTTTTCAGATGAAAGACGAGATTTAGTATGTTAGTATTATTATATATGACATAAATTAGGATTGATTGACGTATTCGACTGTTTTCGGTCACTTCCTCTTTCACCAGAAATGACTTTTGATTTTTAAATAGCACCCTCGGTATTTTTCTACTTTATTCGATAGAAAATGACTTTGGAATTTTCGCATATGTTTTTTTTGAAATTGTAACATGCGGTTGATAATGGCAATTTGACTCGAATATCGGTATGGTACAAAATGTACCAAAAAAATTGAGATATTTTCATCTTTTAATTAGCCAGGGACAAGACACTAAAAACATCACGTCGATCAAATCTATTTTTCCAAGGCTACTCCAGATTTAAATTTAAAAAACAATTTTTTTTTAAGCCAGAATGTCAAAAGTTGCCATATGATATGATATTGCACCCTGTAATATACATTTAAATATAATAACGTTAATGTATATAAAAAAACAATAACAGTTGTCCGCAATTTTTTTTTTCTATTTAGTATTTTTTCCTGCCATTTTCTAAACGATTTCTGACTATAAATAAATTGCTATATTCCCTCACTCAACAACAAGATCAACTATACATGTTTGAAAACAAACTATACATGTTTGAAAATTTATTTACGACATCCAATAAGCCAGGGATGATTTTGACAGCTAACATCCAAAAAATGATAGAGATACAATTTACATGTGAAGAAAAATGACAGGCATAACTGTCACTGCCACAAATTCTGTCTTTGGACAGACTATAGTTGTAAAGTCCCGTTCTCAGAACTGTTGTGTCAAGACTGCCGGCTCAAGACTTCAAGGGACCAATGAATGTTGTACTAAATTTAGAACTGACAGCTGTACAAATCTCATTGGTCCTTTGAAATGTCACTCAGTGTTGCCAGCGAAAGTATGAAGAACAAATAAGAACAATAAAGCAACTGTCAATTTTAAATTTAGTGCAACTCTCATTGGTTTTCATTCGTAATTTTACAGCTAATATTTGTTTTATTTGCACAATATACAATCACTATTTTTGTTTTTCCAAATTCTCTTCCTATATCCTGTATGATCGAATAAAAACGGCGTCAGCGATGGCCATGAAATGACGATCAATGACATTTCCCATATAATTTTACATACATAATAAAATTTTTATTCGATCATACGGTATTAACTGCTCCTCCCAGCTCCTATATCAAATTATTTAACATAATAAATAATTAAACAAATCCCTTTCCCTTTAATTACATTAAATAATACCATTACATGCCATGGTTCAAAACAATGAATTTGGAAGTTTCCTAGTCAGTTTAAACATTAATTTATGTGAGTAAATATTCAATTGATAATATATCTAGCTCTACACTACTTCTAAAATTAAATATTTTGTTTATTTGTTATTTAGTATTTACAAAAAATTGATAAAACAAAAAAGTAAAAAAATAACCATCTTTCCATGTGTAATTTTATTACCTTTTACCATATCAATAAAACTAGATAAAATATAATTTACACGAAGTAATATAAGTGTTAATCTGTAAACCTAATAGTAATCCCTATTTCAGGGATATTATTTTCTTTACCTGCAAACACAGAAGTAACAGCAGCAATGAAAAAACTTAAAATAACAGAAGGGCCGGCAGTATCTTTAGCTACTTGACCAGCGAGCACATACACCCCTACACCTAATGTGCTTCCAATTCCTAAGGCAGTTAGGTCAAACGTATTCAAAACACGATTTAAACGTGTCTCTTCTGCATTAACAGGATCTATTGCCTTTTTACGAGTTAAAACTCTCCATATTCTCTCCATTTCAAGTTGCCACAAAATGAAACAACTACAAAAATACAATACATAATGTTAAATAGCTTTTAAGTAGCATAATATAGAAACTTACGTTTTTTTAGATAAGTTCTTTAGGCCATTTAGAAGCACTAAAACCTGCAATGCCAATCCCTTTTAAATTAGTGTTACTGAATATACTGTTATAATTATATATAATTAATTAAGTTAATATATACGACATCCAGTTCCAAATATTCTTGTCTCCTAAAAGGTGTGATAAATCGCTTAACAATGTAAAATGTAATAACATGTAATCAAAAATAAATATAAAGGCTAAAATAGTTTAAAAAACTTTAGAAACATGAATCACATCTACGGAACGGGCAATTCGCAATCCCATCATCAGAAACCTGTCAGAAACTGATTGCTGATAACAGATAACAGCTGATAAGAAAATCTAAACATGACTTTCCATAGAGTAACTTACTTTACGGATCTATGGCACTGGAAAAAATTGTAGAAAAATGCAAAATTTTAAATTTAAAATAATTTAACAAAGCTTTGTAATTTGTGTATTTAGGTATATAGGGTATACCCAGAGAATAGGTACGGTATACCATAATGAGATTAGAAATGATAAATGGACAATATTTTGCCACTCTGTCCTTCAGTCCTGACCAGGTCCTGACACAGATACATTAATAAGAGTTGGGCCGTATAGTCCTGGTAGCTAAAGGAAGATAACTTATTAAGAAGAAAAATTCTGCTTGTGCCTTTAAAGCAAAATTGAAGAAAAAGTACTGTCAATTTTGGCGCCAATTTTAGGTCATACTTGTTCTGTATTATAATATGATTATAATTATTTTTATGTATATTTGATTCAATATAAAGATTTATAAGATATTTATATTTTTTAGAAATCTAATATAATATGGCGGAATCAGGTAAGTCTATAGTTTTGTGGCGATATAACGATTTCTAGTGATAATTTATATTGAAGTTGATGACTCTGAAAGAAGACCGAAAAGACAAAAACGAGAAACATCTTACAAAGCTAAGGCATTCGAAAAGTTTAAGCAATTAAAAAGTGGATTGCGAAATAAGTATGAGGTTGAAGAAATTGAAAATGTTTATGAAACAGTTGAGGAAAGAGACTATGTCAAAACTGTTATGGATCGACAAGATGATGACTGGATAGTTGATGATGGTATGTTTTAATAAAAAGAAAACCGATGGTGATTATATAAGCGTTCTTTATATAGATGGAAGTGGATATGTAGAAGATGGTAGAGAAATATTCGATGATGATTTAGATTATGAATCTATCTCTCAAGCAACTTCACATAAAAAAGGGGTTAAAAGGAAGAAAAAAGCTATTTCGGATGTATCAAGTAAAGGAAATTTACAATATATGCTATCTAACCTGCCTACAAAAAAGAAGGAGGTAAATGCTGCTGAAGTTTATATTTTTTCATAATTTTATTTTTTATAATTTTAGGAAGTTAAAATTGATGGAGATGATATGTTGTCAGAAATTTTAAATGAAATTGATGAAACACCATCATGTAGTGTTGTAAAGACACAAGAATTTATTCCTAGGAAAAAGTTAACTGAAAATTATATGAAATCTTTTTCATTAAACACAATTAAAAATAAATCAACAGCTGTAACATCCAAAACTAAAACTCTATTGGAAGCATCCAAACCCAAAACTTTATTGGAAACATCCAAGCCCAAAACTTTATTGGAAACATCCAAACCAAAAACTTTATTGGAAACATCCAAAAATAAAGCTTTTATGGAAACTGATATTTCTGACTCAACTGAAGATATGAGTATAGTAAACTCAAATGATACAGATTCAAAAATTGTTGAATTAGGAACACAGGATATAATCCAAGAGGAATCCCAAAATAAAATAGAAGATGATATTGCAATAACTGATTTTTCACAAGATGACTTTGAGGATGACATAGATATATCTCAAATAGAACAAATTGAACTGCAAACAAATCAAATTGCAAAGGCTGCAGAAAAAGTAGAATGCAATAAGAGTGAAGAAAATAATGAGGCCATTTTTGATTTTGAAAATTTTACTGGTGATATAAATGATTTTAATGACACTGCTTCTTCTATGAGTGATAGTAGTTTATCTACGGATAGTAGTTTGTCAGACTTGCCATTAGTTATTGCTGATAAACAGGAGGTAAGTAATGTATATTTATTTTAGTTAAATAAAGACATCACTACTATTATTATTTTAATTTTTATCTCTATTACATTTGTAACTTTAGTTGTTTTATTTTACTATAATTTGTGACTGCTTTATAGAGATACAAATCTCCCTCTTCCATTCCCTCCATCAGTCCTCCTGTCTCTCATAATTCAAACCCTACAACTATTATACAGGGTGGTCCGAACTGTATTCCGGAAACTTCGGCAGCATATTCTGCAGATATAAGTAAAAAAGTTTGTATAAATGTATGCCCTAAAATGCTTAGTTTCAGAGATACAGGGTGTAAAAGTTTCATTTTTATTTCGATTTTTTCTAAATAACTTCTGAAGTAAAGTCAATATTTGGGATGAAAATTGGTGTCTTGGAGTTTTTTGACATGAGAACTTTGATTTTGATGTCAATATAACTCCTTACTAGTAGGGGGCGCCACCTACATGTGTTTTAACTGTTTTGAAACGTAATAACTTTTTGTCTGTACCTGTATAAAACTACCGAGGAAAAAAATATACATCTCTGTGACTTTTCACGCAAAAAACATCTCTTTGTAAAAATCGCTACGAGCAACTGTTCTCAAGATATTTACAATGGAAATAGTCAATACATGTCATTACTGACGAAAAATAAACACGTTGAGTAGATAGTTATTTCAATGAAAATAATAAATTTGGGATTTTTTTTTAATTAATGATAAATTTTTCTGCAAAAAATGATGATAAAACAGTTTCTATTAAACTTTTGGCACAAAAACATTTCAAATTTATGATTTCAATCTAATAACTATTTAGTCAACATGTTTAATTTATGTCAATGATGACAGGTAATTGATAATTTCGATTCCAAATATCTTGAAAACTATTACTCGTAGCGATTTTTACCAAGAGACCTTTTTTACGTAAAAAACGTCGTAAAATGTATATTTTTTTACTCGGTAGTTTTATACAGGTACGGACGAAAAGTTATTACTCTTAAAAATAGTTAAACACATGTAGGTAGCGCCCCCTACAAATAGGAGTCATATTGACATCAAAATCAAATTTCTCATGCCAAAAAACTTCTAGACACTTATTTTCATCAAAATAATGACGTTACTTCAGAAATTATTTGGAAAAAATCGAAATAAAAATTAAACTTCTACACCCTGTATTTCCGAAATTAAGCATTTTAGGATATACATTTATACGAACTTTTTTACTTATTTTTATCTGCAGAATATGCTGTCGAAGTTTCCGGAATACAGTTCGGACCACCCTGTATATCTATAAATTACTTGTTTTAATTTTCTCTGTGTAAAGGTGTGTATTTTTATTTTTTTTTTATAAAAATTTTAGGTTTTTCGTTTCTATTGGTGGGATGCATATGAAGATCCAGAAAACCAAAAAGGATCCGTTTTCTTATTTGGAAAAACATATTGTAGTAAATTAAAACAATATGTTAGTTGTTGTGTAGCGGTAAAAAACATATACCGACAAATTTTTCTTCTACCTCGACCATACGTAAGAATTTATTTTCATTATTTTTTACATCTTTTTTCTACTTATAAGATCCTTTCATAGTGAGGGGATTATTTTCAACACGCGGCGGCGGCTTCGACGGATAGTTCTGTACAATTTAATTGGACGATATTCACAGGGCGCGGGCGGGCGCACAGAGGGGATTTTTTCCAAATTCGTGGCCAAAATTTAAAATTCTGAAATGAGAAATATTCTCATAATTAATATTTGAAATGAAAGGCAACATATCTATCTATAAGCTAAAAAACAATTATTATAAATTTTCACCGTATTCTCTAGTTACGTTGATCCAAAGTTAGCCTTGGCGAGACCTATGTTATGCTGGCTGTCATTACTTAAATTTTCGTTACTAATGACGTTTGGTTTTATTGTGTTTCCAATAATTTTTTGCGAAAAGTGAAACGTGGATTGTGTACCTTCATGTATGTAGAATAATATAATATTTTACTTAGTAGTATTTTAAAAATGCATATATAAACTTGTATTGGTTTTGTTTTCTATTGTTCAAAATGAAAAAAGAAAAAATTAAGCGTTCATTCCGTTAAGCATTTGGTACACTATTAATGCGTATTAAGCTCAATGCTTTTCACTGTCTTATTTATCAATGCTTAATCTTATTAACTGTGTTAAAACTGACTGCTAGTTTTTCCTAATCTGTTCGAAATAACAGATTTTGGGCTCTAAACGTAATGTGAAATCTACTTATATAATAGAATAAACTGTCTCACTAACAGCATCAAATTTTTTTTAAGGGACCGTTAGGTTAAGGGTCTTCTAAGTACCATTTTAAAACTGATTGTCACTGATTACCTGTACGTCACGTCAAATAAATGGCACCTTTAAATTTAATTGTCCTTTAGTTAATGGACACTTAAAAAAATGTCTGTGAAAGTGACTGTAAGTGACGGATATAGGTACATATCAATGCACAGCTTAAACCTCTGGGTCTAGAGACTCAAAATTTTGCACAAAGGTTTCTTATACAAAGTAGGCGAGCAATAAGAAAGAATTTTATAAAACTTGAATTTAAAGGGGTTGTAACCACCCTTTCAATATTGAAATATTTTTTATTTAAGAAACCACTGGTTTCACGACAAAATGCTTGAACACGTATTTTTTATTTTTGTTTTTGACATACGAAGATATTTTTTTCCACAACGATTGTTCCATAGGGGGTGAATACAACCCCCTTTTCATCAAGCTGAAACCAATGGGAGTAAAAAGCTGAATTTTGGCTTACGTATAGATTGTTAGGTGTAGGTAACCTCTAGGTTCAATAAGTAGGGATTTTTCGAAACCCAAATTTTAAGGGATGAACAACTCCTTAAATAATTTTTATTTAAAAAAACTATTGATTTTGGTGAAAAGCGATAGAAAATACGTGTTCAACCATTTTTCTGCAACATTAACCATTTTTTTAAATAAAACATATTTTAGGGGTTGTATCACTCCCTTAAAATTCATATGCAATGAAAATGAAAAACATAAGAACAATTTGTAAAAAATACATGTTTAAAGATGAAAATTCGTGAATATTTTCTTCTAATAATTAATATTACCTCTGTTTCGAACTTTGCAATTTTTTACCACCCTGTATAGCATCAAAATGTATAATAAACATTTTCTTAGTAAATATGACTCACTTTTAATGTAAATACTAGTTTCGAAAAGAAATAGTAAGTTTATGCTACAAAAATCATTTTGGCCACGAATTTGGAAAAAATCCCCTCTGTGGGGCGGCGCGATTTCAAACGGCGTTGGTTTACTGACTCGACACCTGATAGATAAATAAAATCTGGTATATAATAATTATATATATTATTGTTATATACTCGGACGGAGTAGGATACCCATTGAGGAATATTGTAGATATATTCGCGATATATACTGGTATATTCCTGGTATTATAATGAGTATTTACTATGCGGTCGTCGGAGAATCCCCTTATAGAGTATCCATATAAATTCCATCATCATGCAAATTGTAGTTTTTGATAGAATTTATTGGCTATTGTGCAGTCTTCTGTACATTCTTTGACTTATTGGTGGTTTTCTGACAATTTATTCTTAGATGTTTCTTTAATGTTGAATTTAACAACAAATTGTTAAAGTTCGTTGGAGTGCCTTAAATTAACAAAGTAAGTATACTTGAGTATATACCGGGTAGAATGGTATTATTGGTATTTACACAAATTCAATTCCTCTACATTTACACACTGGGTATACAGACCGGACCACCGTAGTAGTAACATAGGCAAAACCGGACGAATTAGCATATACCCCTCCACCGGAAAAAAAGCAGGCGAAAAAATGCGATAAAATAAAAATAGGTAGATATGTGATAAGAATGTTTCAGAATTTGTATTTATTCGTGTTTTAATAGCCAAAACGAATACATAGATTTTTGCGACACTTCTCGTGTAAAATTTATTGTTTAGAGAAAATTGTGAGAAAATTCAAATTGCAAAATGGTATTTCCAAAATAGGTCTTATCGGGATATACAAACAATTTTTCCACAAACTTTTGTAAACAGGCCAATTCCATCTTTACCTACTATATCAAGAGTTATTAATAATTTTGAAACACATGGGTGCGTGTCCCCACAAAAACATAAAAATCCTGATGTGTTGATTAATGAAGAACAGGAGTTAAAGCAAGTGTTCATTTGTGCTACCGCGGATCAAAATCCCACGTTTTCAAGTAATCATATTGCTGAGGTGGTTGCCCTGCCCACAATGCCCGTATTGTTCAAGAATATTTAAACAATACTTTTCCCAACCGTTTAATTAGTATAATAATAATAATGATAATAGTTCTTTATTTAGCAAAAATGCTACTTAACAACAATTTTTTACATATATGTAATTTCACTTAAATATCTAAATTATCAGGACATTATAGTGGATATGGAACTATTTTGTGGCCCGCTAGGTCACCAGATCTTTCTCCCAATGATTTCTTTTTGTGGGGTTATGTAAAATCTAAAGTGTATGGTCATAATAGGGTTAATAATCTGGATGAGCTTCAAGTAAAAATACGAGAGGCTTTCCAAACTATTAACCCTAATATCACAACCAAGCCAATGTCAGACGGGGTTTTTACGACCGCCTAGGCTTCTGTCTAGCTTCAGAAGGTGGTCTTTTTGAACACTTGTTATAACTTTTTTTTATTTAGGGTAATATTTTAGTTGTTTTTTGGGTTTAGAGAATTTATTTATTTTTAGTTTTGGCTTGTAAACACGCTCAACTAATAAATATTTAAGTATTTTTATTTTAAATGTTACCTTAAGTGAAGGTGAATACTTAAAATGAAAATAATAAATACTCTGCACTCCTCGCGTCGTATTCCTAGTCTGGCACGACCGACCCGTCCAAGCTCAACTGCAACTGCGTATTGCCTGACCAGCAGACTAGCCGGCAGTGAATCTCGAGTACGAATGCAAATCGGGTAAACGTAAATTCGTACGGCAACTTTCTATGTTACTAGTAGGCTGGTCTTCTCTGTATACCGGGTAGAATATAGAATGAGTGGGAGGGGGGATTAATCACTGCGACCTTACAGATATATTGTGTCCTCTTTCCTTGAGTCATCATACAGCCTATAACTCATCATACATGAGGATTATCCTGTTGTAGAGGAGACAGGCTGTTTCCCATCCTCCTCTGACAACAGATGTTCGTCCTCTAAAGATATAAAGTGGAAGGGTGCCACAGTTGAGGTTTGTCTCTGGCTGAGGTACCCGTGAGGTGAAGGCTGGAGGATCTATCTCCATTTTCTCCACCTCTTTAACTTGATCTCTCCTTAGACCTGATACTGGTGTTGTCCTGAATCTATAATAGAGAATTTATCCTTCTTTCTCTATTACCTCCTTGGATTCGAGGTCAATTCCTATTGCGAGGATATGTTCTTCCTCCCTCGCCAACTCGATGTCGCTACATTGTTGAGTTCTGAGCCTGGATAAAGCTCAGCAGGTGATGTCCTTCCCCTTGCTCCTCGGCAGAAAGACCGTGATGGTCGTCCCTTTTGGGATGTTTTATACCTTTACTGCAATCGGTCTAAACTCTAGACCCCTTAGGTTTATCCTGAGTGTAAGACCTTGGGTATTTAGCCAAAAACCAATATACTTAGTGTTTGTCAGCCCATGTATTTAAATAATAAGTATTCACTTATTCACACTGTATTTTATACCATCGTTTAAACCAAACGACCGACGCGGCGCCCCTTAGAAAGTCTGGTCTTTATGCAGATTAGAATAGAGTTAACGACTAAGTGTGCATGTCAATCTGTCAGATGCTAACAAACATTGCGTCGTGAAGTCGCTTTTAATGAAAGTACACTGTATCGAGTCGATGCCGCGTCGAATTTAAGCCGCTCAGTGTGAACAGGGTCTAATTCTAAGATTTTTTTATGAAGTTGTTGGATGATGAGGGTAATCAAACCAATACTCAAGTTAAATATTTAGATGTTTACGAAGAATTTAAATCTTTAATTTCTAATCCGATGAAAATGCATACATTCAAATCAAATTTTGTCCAAAAGAAATATGCTTTTGATCCTTCAGTACCCCGAGAATCTGATTATTTAGAAGTTTTGTATCCTGTGAGTTCGAGTATGGATTTTGTCTATAATGTTTTTTTACTAATTTTAATATTACCCTTAGGCTAGATATCCTGAAATTGAAATAGAAAAACTTCCAGCATCACCCAAGACTTTTTGGAAGATTTTTGGAGTAAATAACAGTATTTTAGAGCAATTTCTGCTAAAGAAAAAAATTAAGGGTCCCTGCTGGTTAGATGTTCGTAATCCTGAACTAAACAATAACCCACTGAGTTGGTGCAAGTTTGAAGTAAATTGTGTAGTAAAAAATATTGTTAAAGTCGATGAACAGTTAGAAAGACCGCCATTAGTTGTGTCCGCTTTAAACTTTCGTCATTATCGAAATCCTAGAACGCACCAGAATGAGATTTTGATGATATCTTGTATTACTCAAACTAAATATTCTGTGGATAAGCAACAACCTAAGCCACCTTTTAATGAACATTTTTGTGGTAAGTCAAACATTTGGTAATACCGTACGATCAAAAGAAACGGCGCCCAGTTGGCTTGGAGATGAACGTGGTTGACATTAATCGTATAATTTTCATATAAAATGGCAGCAATCTTCATTTCATAGCCAGCTAACACCGGTCTTTTTCGGTCATATACTACAAAACTTTTATCATATTACACCTATTTTTTAATCAGTGATAGGATCAGTATCTCTGTGCATACTGTTTTTGCATGTACAGAGTGGCCCATTAGTGCGAGAAAGTCCAATATCGTCGTTGTCAACGAGATAAAACAAGTTTTATACAGACGTTGCATGATTTATAATGGTGCATATCCTATAAATATTTTGTTGTATACAGGGTGTCTCAAAAAAGATATGATAATGTTTTAAGTTTTTTAAATTGCACTTCCTCCCCCATTTTCTCACAATTGGATTCATCATAAAATGCTGCATATGGTACACTATTTTCATTTCAAGCATTATTGCCACTCTATTTCTTATTTACTAAAATTTTGATTAAAAACACTATATCCGAAAATTGGTTAAAAACTGTAGTGAATGTAGCTTTATTAATCCTTAGCTATATTTTTCTTATGTTACTTTGAATGTGGTAGACAATGGTTCAGTATTAAAACTAAAAGAGTTTCGGACTTCCATTGTTTTTATTTATTTTGATTTGCCAGTGCCATGAGTTGTATATTGGAGAGACGAATATTGAGTTGTATATTGGAAACGTCCTCTAGATGACGAACATAAATAACATACGCAATGAGGTGAAACAATGAAATCGGGCATTGCAGATCATGTATGGTCCAAGTACCACAACATAAAATGGTCGGAAGCCCGGGTTGTCCACAAAGAACCTCAATGGAGTAGCGCAAAGTTAAAGAGGCCGTATTCATTTCTAACAATAGTAAAATCTTTAGCAATCCAGCTATGGAAATTTCAACAATATGGCAGCCACTCATAATACGCTCCAATGCAGGTGTTCTTAGTGTTTAGTTCAACAAATTCACGGGTGAATGCTCGGCTCTAGTATATAAGCTCAGTAGTTTTAGGATTTAGTTTAGTTCACACTTGATAACGGTCAGTAATACTTCTGACCGAAACGTTGTGTAAGCAAAATAAATAAAGACAATGGGAGTCCGAAACTCTTTTAATTTTAATATATTTTTCTTAACACCAAGGATATCGGAATAAATCCGCGAGGAAAATTTACATGATCCTCTACAGTCTACAAGTCTGGCGTCGCGCGTCGCCAAACTCACAATATTTAAAGTGTTATATCTCTATTTTTTTAAATAAAACACCCTGTATATTATTTTTCGTTTAGATGCATAATAGAAATGAACATTTTTTGTGTTTAAAGTGTTCCTAACTTGTTGGCGGTTTTGCAGTAATTCGCTGTATTATATTACATATGGGGTTTTCAACGGTAAAATACATAGCTTTGATAAAAAATTACTGTTATATAAAAAATACTTTTTTTAATTAAATGAAAAACAAAAAATCCAGCGACGACAGTTTTTAGAAGAGCCAATTAGATATCTTTTAGTAAAAAAGGCAACTTTCTAGAGCAAGTCATTACTTAGACAATAGAGACGACACAGATAAACATTAGCATTTTATATATGTAGATTATGGCAGCGATCATCTTTTTCAAGCAACTTAAAACCGTTTTTTATCGAGGACACTGTCATATGTTAGTATGATAGTGTTTTTTCATAACTAATCATACTAAAATATACTAAATTCCTCAAACAAACATTGTTTTGCTATAGATTGTGACAATATAGAGATAATTTTTGGAATGGAAATTTTGTGATAAATTAGCTTAAAAATATATTAGAGTTACCTTGTATAATATGAAAACATGTTTAAATGTTGGTTTAAATGTACCTTATATCGCTGCATATTTTATAAAATAATTAGAATGAAAATTTCAAATAGGAAAGTTAATGTTGAGCACAAATTCAGCGAAAAAAATGCACATTTTCATTTGAAAAATTACAAATTTGGTGTAAAAATATATTTGGATCGCCCTGTATATCTATGGAAATATTTTTATAATGTACGCGTACTATTATACACATACTTTACAAAGAAAATTGCGCAAACGTTTTTAACATAAACTTTAATATAAGCGTTTTCGATAAACTTGGTTAGCCTATAATTTTTTGTTATAGTTTTTACATCTCCAGCCAAACAGCCCCTTCCAATGAACATTTACGAGTGCCTAAAAACTTATAAAGGAACCAAAGTACAAAAAATGGACTCCGAAAAAGCGTTACTCAACTATTTTGTTACTCAGTTCCTTAAAATCGATCCTGATATGATCGTAGGCTTTGATATGCAGGGCTTCCATATAAATGTTTTGGCCAATCGTTTGAAGAACTACAAGATAACGTCTTTTAGTAAATTAAGTAAACTAAAAAGATCGGAAATGGGATGGTTAGATAGAATTTTATTCACTGGACGGTTGGTTTGCGATATAAAAATTTCAGCTAAAGAATTAATTAGACTGAGAACGTACGATCTGGATTCTTTGTGTCAGCATGTTCTCAAAATGCCAGAAAACCAAAGAATCGATTTAGAACCAGATGAAATACCGAAGATGTATGAACAAGCGAACGATATTGTTAAACTGATAACATACACAATGCAAGATACAGCATATATTTTGAAGATTTTATATGATCTGAGTATAGTTCCTTTGGCATTGCAAATTACAAATATTGCTGGAAATATAATGTCAAAGACTTTGTTGGGTGGAAGATCAGAGAGGAACGAATTTTTGTTATTGCACGCTTTTGTAGAAAAAGGATACATTGTTCCAGATAAAGATAATCCTTTTAAGAATGAAACAGATACCGAACAGATACCGAAGTCATCAAGGAAAAAGCCCACTTATTCAGGTATGCACACTATTTAATTTCAATTATAAATTAAAATATTTAAAGGAAAACAAAAAATGTACAGGTTGGCTCGAATTATATTCGGGAATCTTCAGTAGTATATTCTGCAGATTAAAATAAGTAATAAAAATAGTTCATAATTATAAACTTATGTCCTAAAATGCTTAGTTACGGAGATACAGGGTTTAGAAGTTCGATTTTTTCCAAATAAGTTCTGAGCTATTTTCGATATTTGGATGAAAATTGATGTCGAAATTCTAATTCGATGTCAATATGAGTCCTGCTTGCAGGAGGCGCCACCTACATAGTTCTAGCTGTTTTGAAGAGCAATAACTTTTCTTCCGCACCTGTATTACACCACTCGGTGAAAAAATATACATTTCCGAAATTTTTTACGTAAAAAAGGTCTTTGGGTAAAAATCGCTGCGAGTAGTGGTTCTCAAGATATTTTGAATCGAAATAGTCAATACATGTCCCCATAACTGATAAAAATTACACAATGTTGACTAGTAGTGGGAACTATCGAAACATTCGATAGTTGCAATTTATTCGAATAATTCGATAGCTAGTTAGAAAAGATTCGTCGAAAACTATTCGAATAAAATAATCGAATAGATGCGACATCTGCCTTGAAAGTTTGTATTCTAGTAATTCGCCAGCAAAAACCATTCATTTATAAAATTCATTTATTCGTCAGGATCGTTTATAATAAAATATAATCTGGATTTTAGTTGTCGCCCGGCGACGTAGGTTTCCTTCCTAGAAACTTGACAGCGGTTGGTGGCAATGGTTTGATAACCGGCTTCTTTGATTTTTTAGGGAGTCAGATAAGGACACAATATTTTTTTTATTGAGGTGCTATTAATTTACACAGAAAATTCATTATGAAGGCGCTGTTGCCATATATTGGTATTATTTGGTATGAGCCAATTACGGATATTATGTATATTTTGCATTTTATTAATATTCTGTTACACTGCAATAATACTTTTTATTTTAGATGTAGGAAAATAGTTCTTAATGTTTTTAAGCAAAGGCTAGTTTAATAAATAATAATAACAGTACTAATTTTTGTTATACCTATTATAACAACAAAATTTAAAGTCATGAAATATAAACATTTATTTCTTTCTTAAGTAGTGTAATGAGAGCAAAATATAAACAACAAATTAGAAGTCAAAATTATTTGTATTAGATCCTATTTAAAAATAAAAAATAATATGGTCTCTAAATTTTTTGGCGACGTTGGTTTAATAAATAATAATAATTACAGAACTAATTTATCATATTAACAAAAAAATTTAAAATGAAATATAAACATATCTATTTATTTTCTAAGCATGTGTAATGGAAGGAAAATATAAAATCAAAAATCAAAATCATGTTTATTGGTGACAATAATAAATATACACACACGTCAATAATATAAAAATACAAAATTTAGACAATCATTACACATTTGTCACTTAAACATAGATACATTGATAATAAAAGGTAAACCTATATAGAAAATAAAAACTTATAAATTAAACATTGAAATCACTCAGACATACAGTATCAGATAAAAACAATTTAAAATCATAAAAGGCCTTTCCCACTAGGTAATTTTTTATCACTGTTTTGAATACGTTAGCCCGTAGAGTTCTAACCTGAAGTGGTAGCTTGTTATAGAAGGCTGGCGCATAGTGCAGTGTCGCATTAAAAGATCTATTGAGTCTAAGAAAATCTGCACGCAAATCATTCCGAGCCCTCGTGTCATGACAGTGCACTTCCTTGGCCACAACAAATTTTTCACTGGCATGAGCGTATATAATAGAGTCAAAGATATACTGCGAAGGTAAGGTTAGTATCTTTAGACTCTGAAAGTAGGGTTTCGCGTCATCACGATAACCGGCACGGGCAACAATTCTAATAGCTCGTCTTTGGAGCGCAAAAACTCTGGATGCATGAGCCCAGTGCCCCCAAACCAGTAGACCACTGAATGTATGAGTGCATGGTAAGCCATCATACAGACCTCCTTCTCCACCAATTTTGCCAGATTTCGCAAAACAAAAGTTCCTGACGTCAATTTCCTAGCTATGAGGTTTACGTGATCATCAAAGCACAGTTTTGAATCTAAAGTGACCCCCAGGAAATTAGCTTCACCCTGATGATCCCTGCAATCAAGTGGCCTTAAAGAAAAGATTATGTTCTTAGTCTTGTCGCGATTTAGGTTTAGGCGACTTGCCGCAAACCAGTCCCCAATACCATCCAATTGTTCATTCTTCAGGTCTACCAGGGTTGCATAATCCTTAGATCTTAGAAGGAAACTAGTGTCATCAGCATATACAGTCATCTCAGGGTGTTGCACTGCACATTTAACGTCATTAATGTAAATCAGGAATAGTAGAGGACCCATAATGGAGCCCTGGGGAACACCAAACCTCATCACACGTTCCTCCGAGATCCTACCTCTGACATACGTTACCTGTCGTCTTTCTGTCAGGTAACTTCCAATTAATTGACAACCATCTGAGTCAACACCATAGTAGTGCAGTTTCCGGACAAGTATATCATGAGAGACACAATCGAAGGACCTAGAAAGGTCGCAGAAAGTGGCGCTCACAAACTCCTCAAACCCTCGCAGAATGCCCTCGCACAATCTACCCAGAGCCATCACTGTTGATTTCTTCTTTCTAAAACCGAATTGCTCTGAGATGAATATGTTATTCGATTCAAAATAGTCACACAGTTGGTCTGTTAATAATACTTCAAACACCTTAGACAGAACTGGTATCAAAGAGATGGGTCTATAGTTGTCTGGTACATCTGGATTTCCTTTCTTGAATATTGGAACAGTCTTACTGATTTTAAATGAGTCTGGATAAGTGGAACTTTCTATTAATTTGTTGAAGAGTCTTGTTAGGGGGCTAATGAGAACGTTCTTCAGAGATTTAATGAGCACTGGCGTTAAGTTGTATATATCTCTACTATGTTTGCTTTTTAATTTATCAATTGCGGATCTGACATCATTGTGGCTACACTTTTGAAAAGCAAATTTAAGGTTGGGGTCTCTAAATTGGCGTTGAAGATATATATCAAAGGTGAGACTGGCCTTTGGGAGTCCTACGACAAGCTGTTCAGCAATTTCTGCAAAAAAGTTGTTAAAAGTATTAGGATCTAAATTAGTTCTCTCATTGGTATTTTTAAGTTTTCTTTGGGTATTAATTACTTCCCATGCAGCCTTACCCATATTGTCGGCATTTTTAATATAATTTAAGTTAGCGTTTTTTTTTTGCTTCGATTATTGCATTTTTATATTGAAGCCGGTATTCTTTGAATTCTTCATGAAGAAGAGGGCAATTTGATTCCTGGCGCATCTCATCCAAAACCGCCAGCTCATCTCTCATAAAACTAATATCCGTGGTAAACCAGCCTGTATTCTGACTCTTCTGATTCCCCGTTGCTCTAGGTCTTCTTTGTCGTTCGGGAAAAGACATATTGAAATATTTTACTATATGATTTAAAAGCAGGTTAGATTTCTCATTTACTGAAATATTGCGACCAACGAACTGCCACTGTTCATTTTCCAACAAGTTATATAAATTAAAAATTCCTGCCTGAGTTATAGGGCGAAATAACATATTTTGTGAATCTAATTTGTGGCTGTCCTTAGTGGGCTCCGTTTGAAGACTTATATCGATCGCACAGTGATCGGAAAGTAGGGGATTAAATACCTTTACTTTAAAATTAGAATTGTAATTTACACAAAAGTTGTCATTAAAATTAACAAAGACATTATCCAAGCAGTGATTTAATCTAGTATTAACAAAAACTGTCTGCTCAAATCCAAAGGAATTCATAACATCAATAAATTTAGTTTTATTGTAATATTCTTTTTCTAAGTGAATATTAAAATATCCGTTTATAATTATCTTTCTATTAAAATCAAAAGTATGCTCAAGAATGCGAGACACTACCTCTAAAAACAAATCAAAGTCTCCAGAAGGAGGTCTGTATAAGGTTATTAAAATAACACCCCAGTCCAAGAGATCCACACCGCACACTTCACAATGTCTCTCCCTTGAAAATCCTTCAAAGCTATTAAGAGTCTTTACCACAACATCCGTACTAGTGAAGATTGCTGCACCTCCATGCCTATGCTTTTGACGACAGAAATGGGCTGCACATTGAAAACCCTGTATTCTCAGCTGCAGGATCTTTTCCTTTAAAAGACAGTGTTCTGTAAAGCAGAGTGCATTATACTTTGTGGGACAGTTGCACAAGAAAGCCTCAATTTCCCCCGTCTTGTTCCTAATTGACCATATATTTATATAGAAAATGTTAAAGCAAAGTTTCTGTAGTGTTATATTCCCATTGTCACATTGACTTAAATTATTTATAAAAAATGACCTGCACTGCTCAAAAAATCCATGTGTTTATCAAAAAGAAATCTCTTTATTCCCACACCAAGGGGCCAGAACTTAACATCATATAGATATACATAAATATGAAATAAGAAATTAATATTATTTATATGAATATTTAAAAATAATATAGTCTCTAAATTCTTTGGCAACGTTGGTTGATAAATAATAATAACAGTACTGTGACGGATCCACGGGAGGTGGGGTGTCTTGGGGGGCACAAGACCACTCACACCTTAGTTCAGAAATTATTTAGGAAAAAAAATAAAAATTAAATTTCTACACGTTGTATCTCTGAAACGAAGCATTTTAGCACAGAATATCTAGCTACGCAACAGAAAAATACTCGAAATTAAAGAGCTAAAATTGCACAAATAAAATACTAGATGGCGCGACAATATCATAATCAGAATATAATTGGAAATTTTCAATTTTCGGTTTTGGATCAACGACACGTCGACGGCCTTGAAGCTCGGCTAAATATGCACAGTTGCCAGATTCAAAAAGACTTTAATTGGCGTCCCATTCTTTTTCTGGTGTATAATAATTTCTTTCTATTCGTCGTTTCTTGTCAGATACACTTATATTAATTATTCGTTTGGCTTTTAAAATAGTTTTAAGTTTAAGTATATTATTAGAAAACATATGTTCACGAAATACATTTTTAATATATGTACACTACTTTATTATGTTAACTAAGAAAATAACTTTAATTACCTTTAAAATTAATATTATACAGGGCGACTGATAGTGATATTTATTAATGCTGAAACGTTAGTAATGAAATATACGTTTAATAATAATGGAAATAATTTATTAAAATGCAGTACAAAAAATGTTAATTGACTAAAAAAATACTATAATAACAAATTTCTTCTGTTTGTCACGTTTTTATATAGACCTAGGTAGATTTTAAAAAGTGACAACAGGTACAATTAATTAATAATATATTAGTTCGGCATAAAAATTGCTGTCCCGGCATCGTACAATAAATTAAAATTCGTAAAATAAATTAAAATTATTATTTTTATAAAGAAACGCAAGTATACCAAATTTTGGCCCAATCGAACTCCAGGAAATGATATCATAATATTGTACTATATTATGGTACCACCCGATATACTTCATAATATTGCAATGTCACCGAAGATCCGTAGTATACCAAATTTAAGCACAATCAAACGCCAGGAAATGGTATCGTAATATGGTACTATGCATCATAGTACTAATATATTAGAATGTCATCGAAGATACGTAGTATACCAAGTTTAAGCCCAATCGAACGCCAGGAAATGGTATCGTAATAGTACGTAGGTACTACATTATGGTACCTCTTGATATGCTTCATGGTGCCATAATATTGCAATGACATCAAAAATACGCAAGTATAATCAAATATGAGCCCAATCGAACGTCAGGAAGTGGTATCATAATATGGTACTATAGAAGGTACCGCTTTATATGCATTATAGTATCGTCATATTACAATGTCACCGAACATACGTAGCATACAAAGTTTAAGCCAAATCAAACGCCAGGAAATGGTATCGTAATATGGTACTACATTATAGTACCTCTTGATATGCTTCATGGTACCATAATATTGCAATGTCATAAAAAATAGGCAAGTATAATCAAATATGAGCCCAATCGAACGTCAGGAAGTGGTATCGTAATATGGTACTATATTAAGTTACCACTTTATATACATCATAGTACCATCATATTACAATGTCACCGAAGATACTTACTATACCAAGTATAAGTCCATCGAACGCCCGGAAATTCAGTTACAATCAAACGTCACAAAGTGATTGTAATTGAGCTCGTAAGATATAACTCCAACTAACATGGCAAGTTAAATACCTAAACCTTTGAAAAAAGAGCTCTGATCTATTTTAATATGTTTAAATGATGTAGCAAATTTGAAGGTAGGCTTTATAAGGAAGTATTACAATATGAATTACACAATGGCAACACTGCATAAAATTCTTTTAAATTTCGTTTGTAGAAAACTGTTTTCTTGTAAATTTATCGCCCTCTATTATGTAGTAGCGAAACTACCGCATCAAAATATCTGATTTGGATACCTATATACCTACCTTTTGATACCTATATACGATTTTATACGTGTAACGAGGCTTCTGTTGCGTAGCTAGATATTCTGTGATTTTAGGATATAAATTTATACGAAATTTTTTACTTATTTTTATCTGCAGGATATGCTGCCGAAGTTTCCCGAATACAATTCGGACCACCCTGTATATAACAACATAGATAAGTAATTAATACTAATAATAATGTATATTGTTTTAGGTGGTCTTGTTTTGGATCCAAAAGTGGGTTTTTACGACAGCCTTGTATTGCTAATGGATTTCAATTCATTATACCCCAGTATTATACAGGAATATAATATTTGTTTTACAACACTGCCTGTATCTAAAAAGGATGAAAATTTGGTCATTCCGGACAGGAATTTACCTCCTGGAGTTCTACCTATAGAAATCAGAAAATTGGTGGAGAGCAGGAGACAAGTGAAGAATCTAATGAAGCCACGTGACTTATCGCCTGACTTAAGAATGCAGTATCACATACGACAGATGGCGTTAAAATTGACAGCCAACAGTATGTATGGATGTTTGGGATTTGCCAATTCTCGGTAATTTTTTTTGGTATTATTATTATTGGGTTTAGTCTTCACAAAAATAAGTAGTAATAGAGGAATTGAAAAATATTGTTTATGCAACATGGTTTTGTAATCTTGCAAATACATTTCACAGGAATATATTATTGGATACATACCGTATGATCGAATAAAAACGGCGTCAGCGATGGCTATGAAATGAAGATCGCTGTCATTTTTTATGTAAAATTATATGGGAAATGTCATCGATCGTCATTTCATAGCCATCGCTGACGCCGTTTTTATTCGATCATACGGTATAGAGAAAAAATTGGAGCTTTGGGCTACGTTTGCTCCTGTTTTCTATCCCCAAGTTAACATCTTGTAACTTGAATGCACACTTGGAAGGAGACGTGTTATCACTCTCGAGCGGGCTATGCCGATATTTCTTTCCTTTTTTATACACTTTTCTGCAATGTTATTTTTTTTTGTATTGGTACCACGGCTAAGGGTATTGCGGCGGGTTACTGTTGGCTACCTCCGCAGCTGTTCTGACTAAGCCCACAATCATGGGTGACTCTGGTTTTAAGCCGCAAATTGGGGCTTTAGGCTCTCGTTTGCTACTTATATTCTTCTATTTTTTGCTCCATCTCCAAGTTGTCATCTTGTAACTTGGTCTTGTTTTGTATCTTGTAACTTCTTATAAGCCAGGAACACGTGTCTGCGGTTGTGCGCGCGAACTGTGTCCATATTTCCTTTCTTTATATATTTTCTTCAATATTATCCCTTCTTTTTCACTTTTTTTATAGATGGGAAACGCCTTTAGGGCCGGAGTGTGGGGATCTCCCTCATGCGAGAGGGCCTACCCACTAAAAACCCATCTGTGCTCTAAGCTGGCCAATCTCGGTACCGCCGAAGGCATTTCATCAAGATTAGAGACTTATCATATTTCTATGTTGGTCTTGTCTGTACCCAGATTTTGTCTTTTTCGTCCTTTGCCTTTTTCTTCATAATGTTCCTTAACATGCCGCAAATCGCTTCGGTATTTTCATTCGATGATGTTAGAAGGTTTCCGACGTTTACTCTAGAAATCTTCGTACCACACACTGTTTCTGCGTTTTCCCGTAAATCTTCGTGCGCGTGACACTCAAATAGTGTGTGGTTAGCCGAGTCTGACACCTCGCAATACCAGCATTTAGGAAAGTCAGCCTTGCGGATCCTGTGCAGATACTCGCCAAATACTCCATGGCCAGTCATGGCTTGCGTGATGTAGTAGTCCGTGTTTGCTTGGTCGCATTTTATCCAATCTTTAATATTGGGTATGAAAGTCTTTGTCCATCCGCTATATGCTTCCCATCGTGTCTGCCATTGCTCTATGTTTCTGGCCTCTTTCCGGAAGGAAGTTCCATTTTTATATATTTGATTTCTTTCCAGGATCAGTAGACTGACTGGAGGTATCTTAGCAAGACACAGTACTGCTACTGTTGGACATGTGCAGTATGCCGATGCAACCCTGAGTGCTAACTTCCTATTTATCCTTTCTAGCATGTTTTCGTAATGCTTGAAGCGCATGGATCTGTCCTAGATCGGCGATGCGTAGAGTATGGTCGAATGAACTACCTAAGCGAGAAGTCTTCTTTTTTCCGCGCGAGGTCCTCCGATATTGGGAGTTATTCTCGTCAGATGCTGGATGATGCCAGTCGTTTTATCCCTGATTTCTGTGACGTGTGAAGTCATTTGCATGCCCGAGTCGAACCAAACCCCCATGTATTTAACCTTCTTTTGAGGTTTTATAACTAAATTTCCAGCTTTATGCTTAGATCTTTTGCCTTGCGTTGTCCAACGAGAATGACCAGCTCAGTTTTTCAGGGGGCCAGTTTGACGACCATGCTTTCCAACTTATTTTTAATCGCTAGCGCAGCCGTCTGAATCTTTTCTTCGAGGATCGTGTAGGTGGATGCAGTTATTAAGAGGGCTAGATCGTCCGCGTAAGCTAAGATCGTGTTGCCCAGGCCTGTATCGGTTCTAAGTATCTGATCGTAAAATATATTCCAGAGGGTGGGTCCGAGGATCGAACCTTGAGGGACTCCACACGTCATTCTGTGTTTCTCGCCGTACTCTGTGATGATGTCTTTTTCATTTAATATACAGGATGTTTACGTATATTTTAGTCAATCTCAGTAAAAATATGTTTTTGGAAAAAGTCTAAATTTTGTGAAAATTATTTACCGACTTAATTTATAAATATAACCGTAGAATTGTTCATCAATCTAGCAACAGAAATATGAATGTTAAGTCTTCAAACTCTCGTTTTTTGGCCGCAATAAGGCGTCCGCATAACTAACCGTGCGTGGGCCTCAGCACCAAAAGCTGCCCCTTCCACTTCATAATAAAATTCTCAGATTTTCTTGTCGTATAAATGTATAAATATAAAAAAATTTCGGGCGAGACCCGTTTCCCAAATGTCTATCGCCGCCACTGTTACTTTTATTAATTATACAGGGTCGCTTTTTTTTATGTATGGAAACGGTCGATTATTAGATAAAATATAGGAGGTCTCGCAAAAAGTTAAATACAAAAGTTATATAGGATTTTTAAATATCCATTAACGAGTAATAAATTTAAGTATACAGGGTCGTTTATAAAGTCGTGGCACATCAAAGTTTTATTTTTTTAAATGGAACCCCCTGTATATTATTGCATATTTCGGTTCTTCCTTCAATTCTAAGCAAAAATCGAAATACACACAATGTACCTCATACCAACCATTTCCGAGTTATTGACTTTTAAAAATTTCACTTAAACAATTTGATTTAATTATTAATTTCGATGTGTTTGGTTTGATTTAATGATGCCATTCTACCTAAACTGTGATACCGTTGTAATGGGTTTTTAAATTCCTATTAGCTACTAGCCTTGTATATGAATATAAACAAGGCTACTAGTAAATTTAAGTATACAGGGTCGGTCATAAAGTTGTTTCACATCAAACTTTTTTTTTAATGAAACCCCCTGTATATTATTGCATATTTCAATTCTTCCTTCAATTTTAAACAATAATCGTAATACACAATGTATATAAATTGAAGAATTGGAATGTTAAACGAAAATTTTGTAATTTCCAGACTTGCTATACCTACTCTCATTTTATACATCTATAAATGCTAACTTGAGAACTAATGTCAAATATTATTAAGTATCACAGTTTCGGCAAAATGGCATCGTTAAATGAAACTCAAAATATCGAAATTAATTAAATCAAATTGTTTAAGTGATATTTTCAAAAGTCAATAACTCGGAAACGGTTGGTATGAGGTACATTGTGTGTATTTCGATTTTTGCTTAGAATTGAAGGAAGAACCGAAATATGCAATAATATACAAGGGGTTCCATTTAAAAAAACGAAACTTTGATATGCCACGACTTTATGACCGACTCTGTATACTTAAATTTACTAGTATTAGCACCCGGTATTGTTATTCTTAAACATATTTTATAATAATTTAAGTTTTCGAAGTTAGTAATGCCAGTCTATATTTATATATTATAGTTAAGTTACTAGATTCAGAATCGACAAAAACTGTTCTTAGTGGCCCTAATTTGAACAAAAAGAATGAACTAATCATATGAAAATAATGCTAATTAAATTCTTATTCTCTTACTATATTATTTTTAGTTTTTATGCCAAAAATTTAGCAGCTTTGGTCACGGAAAAAGGACGAGAAATCCTCACCAACACCAAAGATTTAGTCGAAAATGTCCTTTGAAGTAGTCTATGGCGACACAGACAGTATCATGATAAATACTAACGTCTTGGACTACGATCAAGTGTTCAAAATAGGCATCAAAATCAAACAGGAAGTGAACAAACTCTACAAACAAGTAGAACTCGATATTGACGGCGTGTTCCGATATCTGCTTCTTTTGAAGAAAAAGAAATACGCTGCTGTAACACTAACCAAGACTAAAGATGGTCAATTGAAGGCTGAAAAAAGAATACAAAAGGGTTGATATTGTACGAAGAGATTGGTCAAGATTGGCTTCAGAAGCTGGAAAATTCGTTTTGGAGCATATTCTTAGCGAACAAACACAAGATGACCGTATAACGAATATTCATAATTATTTAACTAAGTTGAAGGAAGAATTACTTGAAAATAAAGTGCCATTACAGTTGTTAGTTATTACAAAACAACTTACGAAAGATCCAAAAATGTATCCAAATAAAGATTCGCTTCCGCATGTTCAAGTTGCATTGAGGTATGTATTTTTTCTCATTTATTTTTACTTTTGTCAATATACAGGGTGACCTCTCGACATCGGATTTCTTATTTGAGAGTTTCACTCTAATCTTTTTTGTATAGCGCAAGTTTTAAAATTATTTTTATAGATATACAGGGTAATTAAAATATATATTCTTACACTAAACTTATAGAATTTTTAAATGGAACTTTTTAATGTTTCTTCTTTAGTGGATTTTTCACCCTTTAAAAAATTTGTTGAAAAATACCATAACATCATAACCTATACTGAGTGTTTTCTAAATTTTTAGATTAAATTTTCTAAAAATTAAAATCTATTTCAAAATTAAACTCACAAATTATTGATGTTTTTTAACTGAAAGTATAGTATCTTCATAACTCACAAATTATTTATTACAGTTGGGGGTTGGAACCTTTGGTGTTACACAGCAAAATAAATCACTAAATCACCACAATACACCAAAACACTTTTACTTTTACACTGGACGCGCGTTTCTCTAACCATGTTAGCATCATCAGCAGATAATTAAAAACTGAAACTAGTTCTTAATCATCTGCTGATGATGCTAACATGGTTAGTGAAACGCGCATCCAGTGTACAAGTAAAAGTGTTTTTTAGTGTATTGTGGTGATTTAGTATTTTATTTTGCTCACAAATTATTGATGTTTTTTAACTAATCATACTAAAATGGCTAATTTACTGGAAATATACAAGGTGCGACAAAACTACATAATTATAATGTTTTTCTCTATACTCTAAATACTTTAAGTATACACAAAATCGATGTTTTTTAAATATTTTGATTTTTTTAAAAATATAATGCATGATTTATTTTTGACTTTTTTATGACTTTCACTAGGCCGTTTATCATTAAAAGTAACATATATCTAACATACTGAATATCAGACAAAAATTTAGAAAAAAAATTAAAGCCGTGTTGCCGTTAATAATAAAAGCCGTTAAAATTTCACAAAAAAAATTCACTTCGCGAATTAAATAGAATTTATTGTATGTTGATACTGCTGAAAAGAATCATTACAGAATATAAAATTAGCGAATGGACGTTAATTTGGAATATAATAATTATTTATCAATACAAGTTGTATAAACAGCTGCATTCATTTATGTCATAAATTAAAATAATGGAGAAAAATGCAACATCAAGTTTTGACTCAACCTTTTACATCGTGCAATATAGTGTATTTTAGTATATATATGTATATAGTGTATTTTAGCTTTATTTTTCTGCTCATATAAAGCTGCCTTTAAATTGAAAATCACAAATTATTCATGCTTTTTAAGGTATAATAAGGAACATGGCGGTCACTACAGAGCAGGCGACACCGTAAGCTACGTTATATGCGACGACGGATCAACTAAATCAGCCACGCAAAGAGCATATCATCCGGAGGAATTAAAAAACATCGAAAACCTGAAAATCGACACAAACTATTACTTATGCCAGCAACTAAAATATGTCTACCGGAATATGCTAAAATATGTGGGGTTTCTATTTAAAAAAAATCAAGATGGCGTCGTATCTGTCAAAATTGACGTTTTAAAAAATTTTGGTGTAGAGAATCGGCATCCGCGCGAAAAATTACATTAGAAAATCTTTCTACTATCTTTAAATACCAAACAGGAAAATTATAAATCGAGTGAGACACTTAAAATGATGTCCCTGTACTTGTATTACATTAGTTTGGAAAAATAACTATTTCCACCGTTTTTACGTAAAAAAAAATCTTTAAAATACATGTCACCATTGACAAAAATTATACCCTATAATATGATACTGACACCGTCATAGAATTTCTTATGTTAAAAAAAACACTCCAAGGTGTCCGGTGGCGTAGAGGTACAGCTCTCGTTTACAAATCTAAAGGTTGTGGGTTCGAATCCTACAACCGGCATTTCATCAGCCGACTATTTTTTATGAAATAAAAATAGTTTGGGTACCTAGGGCGACTCAGCCTTAAATGAGTACAGTACGTCTATCCGTTCTGTAGCTAGGGGACATCTGTAATGGGGGAAACGATGATTCTGATCCCAACCTAACCTAACCTAACGAAACGATGTTTTTCATAAAAATTAGACGATGCATCTCATCAATAAAAATTCGACAAATTTGCTAGTAGCCAATACAATGATTGGGCGGAGCGATTTGCGGTGACATACTCGTCAAGTCAACGTATATATAAAATATATTGCTGTTTATTTAAATGATTTTGTCCGCATTCCTTTCATAGACACAGATCCAGTAGACGTACTTTATTTGGGATTCAGAATCCTGAGGTAATAATAGGCAGTTGAAGCGTAGTGCTAGCCACATTACCTTCCTTGTATACCGAACGACTCTAGCATGGCAAGCTGTACCTTGCTACTCCCAAGGCGTTAAACGCTATATACGGGAGCTATATATTTCTAAACTAACGTCGATATCTGGGTGAAATTTGGTGTTTTTTTAATAATAATATAATAATAATAGCTCCCGTATATAGCGTTTATATACGGGAGCTATTATTATTATATTATTATTAAAAAAACACCAAATTTCACCCAGATATCGACGTTAGTTTAGAAATTATTAAAAAAAAAACGAAATAGAAATGCAACTTGTACACCCTATATCTCCTAAACCAAGCATTTTAGGACATTCCCTGATTATAATTCGAATCAATCTGTATATTTATTGATCGAAAAAATATTAATTAGTGAATATTAATTATGAAGCTAAGTAAAAGAATTAATTAAAGTTAAGAATTTCAAGTAAACGATTTAAACGAACGAACAAAAAAAAGAATTTTTCTATAGTACATTTGAGTTTAAGATATGGAAGATTTTATATATTATAGCAATGGTGAGCCCACTTATAGAAGAAACCTAAATAATTTATTATATTAGCCGTGGTCACTTTATTTCCGTGGTTTGTACTTTAATGCAAACGACAGAGATAAAAATATACGGCCAGTTGACAGACAGAGAGACAAAATTAAAAGCGGCATACAGTATTGCCAGTTCGTACAATAAATAAAATAATAAAAGAAAATAATATATCTAAGCTATTCAATAATGCTAATTTCTGTTAGACAGTTGTTTCAGAATCTATTACAGCTGAGTGAAAATGAGTAACTAATTGTGAAAAGTAGTTCCAACCCTAGAGGCAACATTTTTCGTAAACACCTACTTAAAATTTTGATGCAAAATCCGGCAATAACGCATAGAAGAAATGTATCAACCTAATTTGTTATCTCTTTTTAATACATTTGATTTTTCATTTAAGCTGTCTACATCACTGTCTTCCAGACTACGCAGTTTCGATGAACAGATCGGTATATATAAAATCTATAGACATTTCGGTAAATATTTTGAACGAGTAGGACATGAAATATTATTATTTATCGATATATCTTAAAATCTTGACCGATTATATTAATTAAAATTGAAACATTGATTGATTTAAAACATGTGCTTTTTCTAATTTATTAAGGCGAATATTGACATAATATACCGTGCTGGCAACTGTACTTTTGGGTCGGCATTTACATGTGTGGAAGTAAATCGCATAGGGATCTTATTAAGTCGGAGTGAGAGAAATGCGACCGACCGACGAGACGCGCGACGGTGTGCTGTTGCGGCGTTGCCGATACGCCTTTCCCTATCAAGTAAAGTAAAATCACGATCGCAAACCGCTTATTTTTAAAATACTTTTTTTTCAAGAGATAACTAGATAAAATCATTAGACATGTTTCTGAGCATCTGAAATGGAATTATAAGGATATCGTTAGGGTGTCATTTTTTTTATAGCGAGAAAACGTCAGTAATTTAAAAACTCAACTTTTTTACACATAACAGGCCATAACTCAAAAACCACTTTAGATATTGAAATTTTTTTTATTTTCAAGATCGGATATTTTACAATATGTTTACATAAGAAAAATTCGATAAGGTTGTTTTTTCCATTCAAAAATTGTAAACAATCCATCCATTTACTTTTAGAGCATAGCAATTTTCAGCAATCGTGTAATTTTTTTATTGATAAAAATTTTCACATACTGTCTACAAAGAAAATACAGCAGAAATATCAACAAAGTTCTTGAAAAAACTACAATCTATTATTTCTAATAGATTTCGAGATATCGATTTTTGAATTCAGAGTTCTAATAGCGCGACCACTATCGAACACCCACTCAATTCCACTTATTTTTACCAAAAATGCAAGTGTTTCTAGTTTGCTAAAAAAAATCAAGCTATAGGGAAAATTATAACGACTCGTTAATAAATAAACAAATTAAGTATCACGAGACGTAATCGTGAAGCTAAACGCATGACGTACACCTTTCCCTAGAACTTTAAATACAGACATTGATTGGGTCGACCGGTCAACTGCGACAAATCTGCTATATCCCCTTCCATGTGTCTTAGCGATGTGGACAGTTTCTCGGTTTATTTCATACGTTCGGCAACGGGTTTACTGTCCTCTCTTTGTTCAGTACATTATAAACGTATTGTACTCTTCTTATATACGGAAATCTCGACCCAAAGCTAACCTTTGCCAGCCCTTAGTATACTATATACAGGGTGTCCCAGAAATAAGTGTAAGTATTTTAAGGGGTGGTAGATCTCGATAAAAGAAATATATTTTCTCTGTATCGTTTTTCAAATAAGTCCAAAATAACGGAGTTATTTTACTTTGAAAATTTCCAAAAAAATATTTTTTGCTGAAATTTTGAGAAACCACTGGATGTTTTCTGGATTTTCTTTCTTGTAAATTTAATCTACTACTTATGTTGCCATATTATCAAGAAATTATATTTTTTAAATAAAAACTAAAAAAAATCCAAAATTTTTTTCCAAAAACTCCGAATTTTCAAAATTTTTTTTGGCGAAAAAAAACTCATAGGCGTGTTTCTGGGGTTGAACTATACTCCCAGTTAAAATACGTGCACTTATTTCTGGGACACCCTGTATAAATTTCTTTTAGATAAATACTTTTAACATACCTAACACCTAAACTTGCAGAGGTACTGGCTGCACATTTAGCCATCTGTTTGTTTCTCTTTTCAGCCGAAGCGTCGTCCCCATGCTGTCTTGTTCCCATCTTAAGATCCAAAATGCAAGGATTGGCAAAATGCGAAGTTATGTTCTCCAACATCAAAAAATACTGTTTATTCGAATTGTCCGACTGTGAAATGCTCTTAATAACATCCTTTGGATTGCCGGTATGATGTATCTTCATTCTGACAACAGATCAATTGGTTTCATAAATCACGTTTCTACATTTTTTAAATCAGAGGACAATTTTTATATACACTCAGATGGAAAAAAAGGCAACGTACAAAGTGTTATATATTTTTTATTTTTAGCCCTATTTTCTTGATTTTTTTAGCAAACTGTATATAAATATGTTAACTTTAATTCGTAATATATATATACAGGGTTCTTTAGGTAAAAATCAGTAAAAAAGTTCATATAAATGTATGTCTTAAAATGCTTACTTTCACAGATACAGGATGCAGAAGCTTCATATTTATTTCATTTTTTTCTAAATAATTTCTGAAGTAACGTCAATATTTGGATGAAAATTGGTGTCTGGGAGTTTTTTGACATGAGAAATTTGATTTTGGTATCAATATGACTCCCACTAGTAGAGGGCGCCACCTACATGTATTTTAACTGTTTTGAAGCGTAATAACTTTTTGTCGGTACCTGTATAAAACTACTAAGTGAAAAAATATACATCTCTGTGACTTTTTACGTAAAACATATCTCTTTGTAAAAATCGCTACGAGCAACCGTTCTTAAGATATTTAGAATGGAAATAGACAATACATGTCATTATTGACGAAAAATAAACACGTTGAGTACATAGTTATTACACTGAAATAATAAATTTAGGAAATTTTTATTTCTTTAAATAAATCATAAATTTTTCTGCAAAAAATTATGATAAAACAGTTTCTGTTGAACTTTTGACACAAAAACATTTCAAATTTGTGATTTCAGTCTAATAACTATGTTAATTTATGTCAATGATGACCGGTATTGATAATTTCGATTCCAAATATCTCGAAAACCATTACTCGTAGCGATTTTTACCAAAAGACCTTTTTCACGTAAAAAATGTCGTAAATGTATATTTTTTTACTCAGTAGTTTTATACTGGTACGGACAAAAAGTTATTACTCTTCAAACCAGTTAAAAATATGTAGGTGGCGCCCTCTACTAATAGGAGTCATATTGACATCAAAATTAAATTTCTCATGTCAAAAAACTCCTAGATACCAATTTTCATCCAAATATTGATGTTACTTCAGAAATTATTGGGAAAAAATCGAAATCTTGTTTGTAACTCCTGGCATGTTTTTTGTTAGTTGCATGTTTTTTAATTTTAATTGTCTATTCTCTACAGTGAAATATTTAATTGATTTTTTCATTTTTACTTTTCGAGAAGTATGCGCGGTTAACGATTCATTTGTTTGGACAAAAGTATTGTAAATAAAATTTAGTTTCAGTCAATTACAGTATTTTTTTAATACGACCCTATCGTATTTTCTGAGAAATTTTTTAATACGGTTTAATCCGGCCCTGACTAGGAAACCATAATGGCGCCGACAAGGTCAAATTTTATAGAAATTTTAAACAATGGAATCTGAGTAGAGTTGGCGTGCCGATTGTTTTATGTGCCGTGGTAAAAGTTTTCTCATTATTTAACTAATGTTAACTAAATCATATTATTCTGTTTTCTTGTTGTAATTCTGTTCTAAAGCTTTTCCTTATTCATTTGATCTGACAAAGACAATATATAACATGTGTATGCATTTAATGGAATCTATTTATGCTGTAAATAATTTTAGTTTAAAAGTAATCTAAATAAAACCGTTTACTGTTCCTTCGTGCCGATGTTTGTGGTTTGTGAGAGCCTTGTTGAGCGTACTAATAATTTTCGACCTTGCATGGGCGAATATCTAGTGTCTAGCCCTAGCAGTCAACTATTAAGCTTGACCAATCAGGTTGGTTAGCGTGGTTATTTGGAGGGTGTTAATAATAACAATAAATAAAATAATTCATAGAATAACTTAGAATTTATTACATTATAAGATATTGGCACCAAACCTTCAACTTTAGCGTCGATTCCACAACAAGGGACTTTGTACCTACGGGTGGGAACCCGTTAAACTCACAAAAAACTTCAGTTTTGAACGATATAAATGTGGCATGTTTTGAATGTATTAAACTATAAGCCTAGGTATGAGAACAGTTTCTATATTATTATTTCTCTTTTATTTAAGTTCAGAACAGCATAGTTAGATTCTCTGGAATAGTGATAATGGTTTTCTCTGCCGTGCTCTTTTACATGTGAATTCTAGGCAGAGTACGGCACTCCTTTCATTTCATTTAATAAAATAAGTAGGGCTATTTACAAATTTAGCGTTTTATTTACATAACCTATTCTTCTTAAATTTCCCAAAATATTGCTTCTGTCGAAGCGGATCCGAGGTAATCACAATAAAAAAATATTTAACACAACGTAGGTTCTTTTCTTTCATTTAAATTTCTTGTTATACAGTTGGCCAAAATATTACCTCTTCAACTTTGTTGACGAATTTGGGTTGTTACACTACATGTTGGTGACAAGTTCATTTCGCACTTAAAAATTAACAAAGGCATGTATTGACATGACTCAAAAAACAAAATATTCAGGAGACATGGTTCTGATCGAAAAATAATGTTTTAGGAAAATTTGCTTACGAAATTATTGCACAGGGTGTTTTAAAGATGGGTCAAACAACTCTTCGATTAACCCTGTATAATAATAATAATAGCTCCCGTATATAGCGTTTAACGCCTTGGGAGTAGCAAGGTACAGCTTGCTATACTAGAGCCGTTCGGTATACAAGGAAGGTAATGTGGCTAGCACTATGCTTCAACCGCCTATTATTACCTCAGGATTGTGAATCCCAAGTACTCATTTAAGGCTGAGTCGACCTAGGTACCCAAACTATTTTTTTTATTTTAATAAAAATAGTGGGCTGATGCAATGCCGGGTGTGGGATTCGAACCCACTTCCTTGAGATTGGTAGACGAGAGCCTGTACCTCTACGCCACCGGGCACCTTACTAAAGTTTATAATAAACTGAGTTTACGAATTAAAGTTGATATATTTATATAAAGATTACTAAAAAATCAAGTAAATAGGGCTAAAAATAAAAATATATAAAACTTTAAACTTGACGAAAAAATTTTCCGTTACATTTTTTTGCATCTGAATGTAGCAGTAGTTAAAGGTGTGTGAGTTTAAATGGAGACAATAAGTTACAGTAGGGTTAAACAATAATAAATGCAATTTTTTAGTTATATTTATTTAAATTCCAAGTTATGGAATACGAGATAACATACTGCAAATCAGACCTAGAACATGAATTGAAGATGAGTCTGAAAAACAAAACAGCATAAAAATATTCAAAACGGATAAAAAGGTAGCTTTAATTTTTTCAAGATGGGCAAAATGTGTAATGTAAAATACTTATATAAATATTGCTTTATTCAATATCTGGAACAATGTGGATTAACATTATTTAGAATTCGTTGAAAACCTAATTACAACACTATTCCTCGAGGGTTCTAGTTTAACTTTAGCACATCTGCAATTTGATTTTTTTTGTTTTTGTTTCTAAGACAAATACCTAAAAGCTGATTTTCTATAATATTTTGTGGGTGCACTTCGCTCTTTCTCAAAAAACTTTTTTTCTCATTAAAATAAATCAAAGGTTGGACAACTTACTTTAATACATCTTCACGTTTTCTTTTCCTGTCATTCTTGAGCGTTTTAAGATTGTCTTCTGCAAAACTAGGACTGTATCGTTTCTCCATTTTAGATCCGCTACATAAAGTAGCTTGCATTACTCCTGAAACAATCCGCAGGTTTATGTAGAACAATCTCCATTATTAAAACAAAAAAAAAAAAAAAAAAAAAAAAAAAAAAAAAAAAAAAAAAAAAATTATTAAAAAGTTATTATTAGTACTAAACTAATACTAAAGATACTAATATTAATATAAAATTAAAAAAAATGATAATTAACATAAAAAACTAAAAGTCTGAAACATAATTAATGGATTTTATGAAGAAAATATATCAAATACCATAAAAAGAACCCATTAAAATATATATAACTTTCTAGTATGTTTTCCTAGAGAGTAAATTAAAAAACGAGAATTAAGTATACTTTTGGGACATTTCACAAAAATAAAAACATTTGGTGAATTAAGACACCAACCGGTCAATTTTTTTTTAAATTTCAATTTGTGAATAAATAGAACAATTCTTGTAAAATGTCCGAAAAAATAACAGTGAAAAATTCCAACCCGTTATAAGAATAAGTAGCAGTAGTAATCGATACAGGTCCATACAAACCCACTGAACCATGAGAAATTGGCTTATTGGGCATGGGCCGACTGTTTTCGGAATTTTTCGGGCCGCAGGCAGTCGCCATCTTGCCGTCCGTGACATCAGCCGGGAAGGAGGAGCCCTCAATAAAACAATGAAAACGTTTTGTGTGCAAATAACCATGAGAGAACGCATTCATTCAACAATCAAACTCAAAGACGTGTTCTGGCAAATTCCTTTTATTTTTCGAACGACACGGCAACGTTGGCGATAATTGTTATTTTCGATGTTGCCATGTTTTCAGATTTTTCGTAGCCTTAGAGTAATAATATATAAAAACAGACAGACTATTGCCTTGTATACCAAAATAAGATAATAAATTTATCATGGTAAACCTGGATTTTAGGAACATCCGGGTTAAAAAGGTAATGCTTGGTTTCTGTAAAAGTGAAATAAAATTTTAAGAATGTATCTACGTTGTATAAGCTGTATAATTAACTTATGTATGTATATGCTGTATAAATTATTTACAGATCCTAATATAAAATCTCGTATGGGTGTATATTTGAATATGTTTTTCCATGAGCATCGATAGTTCCCTTGATTATCTTTATGTCGGTACAGTACTTGGCAGTATAATCTTACTACGGCAGATTAGAGAGTTATCACAGTAATACTGACAATATATTTTTAAATTACAAAAATAAAAATATTAGTGTTGATTGAAAGAATTAAGAAAGATACGTATCCCAATTCAAGGAATTTGTGACAAGGTTGATTTGATTTCCCGTGTACCGTCCTTAAGTGCTGTAATGGTGGGACACCAATCGTTCCAGTGGTCAATTTGTATTAAAAATAATTTATTTTCTCTTAATCTGACCAGCGAACGTAGCCATTGAAGACGGTGGAACTGAAAGCGACAGTGCTGCCATTGAAATGTGTAATATCTGTAATACGTGGGTAATCAGGGTTCGGAAGTAGTTAATTAAGAAGTAATTTATCTGATTAACTATGTGTTTATTTTTCTGTTATTGTGTTGTACTTTTCCCGTTCATTAACCATAAGGAAATCCAATGGAAGAAATAAACCACCCATTGATATTAAGGAATAATTTTGTTTTGTAAGGAGGGGAGTCTAAATAAAGAGTCCTTGTTTTAAAATACATTATGCGCTTTCAAAGCTTCTGTTCTATTATAACCTCAAATTCTAAACCCTTGACATTTGAAAGTTACATACATATGTTACATAAATCCAAGCACCCTACATAAATACATACAACTACATGTAAATGTAGTTTATGTAGTTTATGTAGTTTTTCGAACCCTGCGTGTGATATGTTTGACGAAAATATCTATGGATGAAAAATCCATGTTAATGTATTGAGAACTCATTCAGCAACAGAATAAACAAATAAAAAATAAAAATAATAATTATAGAAAATTGAATATGTCGTATAATCGAAAAAAAAAAAAAAAAAAAAAACTTGGAAATGACGATCATTGACAGTTACTATAATATTGTTACGTTTTACGGGTCGGTTCTGTGTGGATAGAAAGTCACAATTCTATTTAAAAACACCATTTATTTAACACTAATGAACAAAAATAATAACGATAAAAAAGACTATAGAACCATTTACAAAACGATTTATAACTAAGAATTTATTTTGAATTTTAGCGTCAACTGTATATTTATAACTGCCCCCTCTAGGCCACTGCCGCCGGCTCTTCTTTATACCGGACAGGTAAAAAATAAAATCTAGAATAGTCCAAAGATCGTTAGGCGCATAGAGATGGTTTTCGAATGTTCTCGAATGTTCTAGTCCATTCTAGTGGGTCTCGATTATTCTCGAACGAATGAATCCTTGCGGTGTCTATGCGATATTAAGGTCATAATGGGGGCGGGACATATTGTGAGGTTAGGTCGAGTCCACACCGGTCTGCAACACTGCCCCCTTCTAAGGTACATGCTCGTCCCGAGATGTATACGGTGAATGAAGGCATTTGCAAAGCTGGCCCCTGGTAAATTGCGAAGTCTGGTAAAAATAGCAGTCTACAGTTCTCTCCCGATCTCAGCTTTGGTTGTAGCAGCAAACGAGGATCCCGATTCCCGTAAATCTGAAAAAGACTTCAATCATGTTCCGGATTGTACACCAACTCAAACCATCGAGTCCACACGCCAGCTTCGAAATGGCTAATCGTGCAATGTTGTTGTTTAGCAGGGCTTCTCCCAGTTCAATCAGGGTCTTAAATAGATTGAGATAAGTCGGCTTACCTCGGGGACCATTCCTTGCTGACCAGGTAGAAGATGTGCCTAGCTTGACCATGTGCATTGTCGGTTAGCCTCAAGACGCTTCCTACCTCTGGATCCTGTCGGCGTAGTTCTCCGACACGCCCAAACTACTCATTGAACGTCGCAGCGATTCCTCTGAACATCCGCAAATCTCGAGACACACAATGAGCGAGCGAATAATCAGGAGGCACGGAAAGAGGTCTCGTTGATCCTCTTTGGTTACACCATAGAGAGCCTTCTCACTGCTGTATCGGGCCATGAAATAGTCAAAGGACATCTCCGAAACAGGGGGATCAAAGCAGTAAATACGTAAACTGAACGGAAGTACATCAG